GTCCATAGCATGTGGGGGCTTAATCGTGAATTAAATTCTATTCTTGTTCGTTATTTTTTTTTTTATCTTTATTTAAAAAAATACAATATAAGTTACATATACATAAGTGTTACAAGGCAATTATACATTACAATTCTTAGTGAACAAGTGTTTCAGTAGTACAGAACAAGATCTTTTAGAAAACCCCTATAAACGAGTTACAAAAATTGAAGAATAAACTTACATTAAAATACAGGGGAAAATATTACATTTATATATATTTTATATAAGCCTCAGTAAACCAATTTTCTATATCATCACCGAGCATGAGCCGTAAACCCCAAATGTTATACCTGATCCTGCCTCGCAAGAACTTCAATATTTTGTCTACTGAGTAACCTTCCTGCCTGCCTATCCACACACAAAAAATGTAATCAGAAAGTAACATAATTATTGTATTCCTAATTTTCTTGCATTTTATGTCAATATGAAACATTAAAAACCTCATTAACTCCACTCTAATACTTGGTCCACATAAATCTTTAAGAGTGTCTCTAATCCAGTGTACAAGAACAATTTTCTGCTTACAGAAATAAAATATATGCATATTATTCTCAATTTCAGTACATTGGTCACACCTATTGTCGTCTTTAATGCCCAACATCAACAACCTATCATTAGTAGGGAGGGTCTCATGAATATAGCTATTTGCCGAATTTTGACCCTCTTTCACTTTCTGAGACTCGTGGGGCGGGCTTCCACACGTGCGGGCTGAGCCGTTCTCGCGGCCCCTGATTTTCTCATCAACTCTATTTTTCGTCTCTGTTATTCAAACACGCTATGGCGATGGACGTTTATTAATAAAGTGAATTATTAATTGACTGTGCCGGGGGACAGGTAGCCAGTGTATTTATACACCCATGGCGCAGTGGTAACACATTCGCCCCGCGCTTCGCGAGCAATTTGGCCTGGGTTCGTATCCTAGGCGGGGAGGATTGACTAGGCGCCAATCCTTACCTGTACACCTTTGTTCATCCAGCAGTGAATGGGTACCTGGTTGTTAAAGAGGGTCTCGGGGTAGTACAGTTGGTTTTGTTTTCGACGCACAGTCGAGAATTCAGGGTTCGGATCCAGGGCGGGACATAAATGGTTGGGCACATTTCCTTTCACCTAATGCCCCTGTTCACCTAGCAGCAAGTAGGTACTTAGGAGTTAGTCAGCTTGTTGTGGTACTGCATCACGGGCGGGGTCAGTAATTTGACCCCCCCCCCCCGATAAAAGCCTAACGCGTATGTATTTTGAGGAAGCCAGAGATACACTCTGGCTTCCTGTCTCCCGACACAGTGAATTATTATTATTAAACGATTTGGCGGGTCGTATTCCAGGGTAACTTAAGATTAAGAAGCTGCCCAAAACGAAACATGGTTTGTCGTATAGTTGAAATTGAAATAAGTTTATTGAGGTAAAATACACACAAAGGGATGAGGTAGCTCAAGCTATTCTCACCCCGTTCAGTACAACGTATTCATACATGTATAGACACATATCACAAACAATAAACATATTACCGAACATTCTGAGAGATAAACATATACATTCCTTAATGGTATAGCGGGTGTAGTAACTATCAGCTCCCAGCTACTGCGAGTGTCCGGAGCTCCCCACTACGCTCCGTGCTTGGAGCTCCCCACTACGTCGATAGGAGCGACCATCACCAGGTGAGACCAGCCTCGCTAGCACCAAGCACGCTATACTTACACTCCATAACTCCTCTACACATCTCTAGAGTGCGAGCCTTTACTCACATTGCAAAGTTTTCTAGTCCAAGGAGTGTTAACCAGTTTTTACACCACTGTTCTAGACGAAATTTTTACTAAAAAAAACAAGAATAATCTCATTATTGCGCATTACATTGACTTTAACGTACATGGTCTACGAATCTACGAATAAAAATACATACATTTGACACATGATACATTTGACACATGATGTAAAGTATGTATTTTTATATAAAAATTAATGTTACCAGAGTATTGGTGAGCTTAGGCTTTATTTGGAATTTCGTTACTAATAGCAACGGTTCACTGTTAGCTGCTTCATTTTTACTTGAATTTATCTCAAGGCCACTAACACACTAGTGACCTCGACGAAGACAGGAAGCAAGCGGCTTGTCCTCGCCTCTATTTATCTCTCTCCCATTTATCCTGAATATTGCTTCTAGCTGGATTTTAAAATTACGCGGAGTTTTGGCATTTGCGGGTAAGCGGTTCCATTTGTTTGTAGTTGCCACGGTTCTGTTTACTTTGGTGTCGCCAAGGTACACAGGTGCTGTACCACGATGGTCCACTGCTGTACCGTCACGGTGTACAGCTGCTGTACCGTCACGGTTTTTACAGCTGCTGTTCCGTCACGGTTTTTACAGCTGCTGTACCGTCACAGTGTACAGCTGCTGTACCGTCACGGTTTTTACAGCTGCTGTACTGTCACGGTTTTTACAGCTGCTGTACCGTCACTGTTTTACAGCTGCCGTACAGATGGGCTGTTAGTAGCTGTAAAATTGATTGATACATTGATACTTCTGTATCAATTAGTAGCAAAGTTGGGTCTTGTCACGCTATGGTCACGAGATCACGTGCACACTCCAGAGGGAAGGTGCTGTTCTTACGTAGCCACCAAGCTTCAAATCTTGTTGCTGGGCGTATCAGATGACTGTTTAACGCAGTTACTGTGCTCACACGAGCGCGCCAGCTACACCCCAGTTCCCCCCAGTGACCGGACAGCAGGTACGGTATACACCAGAGTTCCCCATGTGACCGGACAGCAGGCACGGTGTACACCAGAGTTCCCCATGTGACCGGACAGTAGGTACGGTGTATACCAGAGTTCCCCCCTGTGACCGGACAGCAGGTACGGTATACACCAGAGTTCCCTATGTGACCGGACAGCAGGTACGGTGTATACCAGAGTTCCCCCTGTGACCGGACAGCAAAGTAAGTAATTATCCAAAGAAGGCACCAAGCCGGGAAGGTTATGAAGCACCAAATCGGACAGCAAGTGAACAAATCCACAAGGGCCGTGACGAGTATTCAAACCTACGTCCGGGAGCATCCCAGACACTGCCTTAATCGACTGAGCTACGACAGGGTTAAAAATAGTTGAAACCGAAGTTCTACTGAACTTATTGGATCCTGCAGCCTCTTCGAGACACAAACCAGGATTTTACACAACTCCCCCCTGCACTTGAGCTATGTCAATAGGTCGTTCTCCCTCTTGTGTAATGATGTAAGGGCGAAGAGGGAGAACGGCCTATTGACATAGCTCGAGTGCAGGGGGGAATTGTGTAAAACCCTGGTTTGTGTCTCGGAGAGGCTGCGGGATCCAGTAAGTTCAATAGAACTTCGGTTTCAACTCTTTTAACCCTGTCGTAGCTCAGTCGATTAAGGCAGTGTCTGGGATGCTCCCGGACGCAGGTTCGAATCCTCATCACGGCCCTTGTGGATTTGTTCATATGATGCATCACGTTAGTGTGATTTATGTGTGCAGCAAGTCAATCATCGCTGTCAACACCGATGTCATCACCTCGTCCACGACTCGGAAGGATGGAACAGCAGCACGGATGTACGGTGGATTGCGTACTAGATAAGTGGAAGACTCTAGTCAAGAGAGAAGTGGATCTCCTCTCACATCAACTGACACTAGCTGAAGAACATCGTTAGTGAAGAACACGACACATCGTTGCAGAACTACAGCAATGGGCATGTCAACAAACATCAAGACTACGGCAATTGTAGGCGATAAAAACTCTATTCTAGTTTTTATATATGTATTTTTTTTTTGCAGTTAGGAAAACTTTGTGACTATGACAAAGAAAAGATAACCCCTTTTAGTGACCTATTGCCCTTAATTATCCAGTACTCCTCCCCCGTCAGTCCCTTGTTGAGGTGTGTCAGTACTGGAGTGTCCAGCCTGCTTGCTCCCGTCTATTCTATAGTACACTACAAGTGGTTTCAGGATTATTGGAGTGACAGGCCAGGATCCTTTACCATTTGTTCCTTACATCTGTCCCGGTAGGAATTATTATACATCTACTAGTCCTATTGTTCTTCCCCTCTGGTCCCCTGTCTGGGAAACTAACTGCAGCGTTATTTATTATTTGGTAAGTCATAGGAAGACCGTAGCAGCTAATATCTCTCTCTCTCTCTCTCTCTTGTACTCTTTGCTCTCCCTCCGTCTCTTGCTCTCGCTCCTCCGGGCTCTCTCTCGCTCTATAATTCTTTAAGTTGTCCACACAGAGCTCAGTCCACTTAAGTAATTATTTAGGTCCTCGTATGGTGGCCCGAGTGTTAATATTTCACAATAGCAAGGAGCCCTGGTATTACAAGAATGGCTGATATCGGCGTTCGTCGTTACACCCTTGATCGAAGCTTACGACTTCATCAGTCCTCTCCACAACCACTTGGGGTGGACGGTAGAGCGACCGTCTCGCTTCATGCAGGTCAGCGTTCAATCCCCGACCGTCCAAGTGGTTGGGCACTATTCTTTCCCCTCCGTCCCATCCCAAATCCTTATCCTGACCCCTTGCAAGTGCTATATAGTCGTAATGGCTTGGTGCTTTCTCCTGATCATTCCATTCCCAAGTCCTCAATAACTCGTCGTTGAAGTTGTTTCATTTTTCAGCATCCACTCACGAGGGTGCTGACAGCTGAGTGGACAGCGCTTGGGATTCGTAGTCCTAAGATTCCGGGTTCGATCCCCGGCGGAGACGGAAATAACTGGGCAGAGTTTCTTTTACCCTGATGCTCCTGTTCACCTAGCAGTAAATAGGTACCTGGGAGTTAGACAGCTGCTACGGGCTGCTTCCTGAGGGTGTGTATAAAAAAAGAGGCCTGGTCGAGGACTGGGCCGCGGGGGACATTAAGCCCCGAAATCATCTCAAGATAACCTCAAGAAGGGTATTCTTGAAGAGTATAACCTCAAGAAGGGTATAACCTCAAGAAGGGTATAACCTCGAGAGGCTCAACACCTCTCTCGCTTGTGTTGACAGTTTCCAGCGCTTCTGCCAGTAACTTCTGCTTAGGTCAGCTAGTGCTTCTGCTGACTGACAATTCGGCCATCACAGCAGACACTTCTGCACCCCTCTTAATTGCTCCCTCCTTGTCTAGAGCAGAGCAGGGGGTAGGTTCCTCGCCATACTTAATAAAAACAATCCTAAACAACTCATAAGGCATGGGTTACGAAACCCTTCTCAAAATGGACTTCTTCTCTGCCAACAGTGAACTTCATGATTGGCACCTCGGAACCCGTCCACTCACTGATTGGTTCACGTTTGCAAGTCACAGCCGCCGCCAGTGTCATCAGCAAGCATATGGAATAATCTTCCGTCAAAACACGTAAGCTGCCCTTCTGCCTGTACTCACCTAGTAGTGTTTGCGGAAGTTAGCTTCATCTCTTTGGTCCTGCTTCTTAACTTTAATTTAATTGGTATATTAAAAAAAATAAAATGTTTTATTCAGGTAAGGTACATACATACAAGAGATTTTACATATTTTGATTGATTTATAGATGGAGCTAGTACACACAAAGCCTAAAGCCACTATTACGCAAAGCGTTTTGGGCAGTAATATTCTCATGACTATTGGGCACTGTCACGTCTAGATAGAAGCTCTAGATGTATTCTGTCTCTAGTACTGCAATTTACGTTTTGAGCAACTTCCTTTTAGTTCAGTTCTCTGACACTAAATAAATTATTTTTGATGGATCATTTCAGTACTTAATTTTCCCCCCGTTTATTCTTGTATTAAGAATGACAATTTATCCTTGTTTCCTGTTTATTCACTTGAGAATGTTGTAGGTAGTAATCATGTCTCTTATAGTTCTTTTCTCTTCTAGTAATATTTATTTTATTTATATGCAAGATACATTGGGTTATAAGAGTACATAACATTGGTGTTTGAGCGTTAGATTCATGCAAAGCCACTAACATACATAGCATAGTATTTCAGGTGTTTAATGCCTTTAATCTTTCCTTGTAACTTATGTCTCTCTCTCCACTGGTACTAATCTAGTGCTTTACCACTAAACATACTTCAACTTCATTTCATGTTTAGCGAGCCGTTTAGCAAGATAAGGTCTCCATTTAGCGAGATAAGGTCTCCGTTTAGGGAGATAAAGTTTACGTTTAGAGATAAGATCTTCGTTTAGCGAGATAAGATCTCTGCTTACCGAGATAAGGTCTCCATTTAGAGAGATAAGATCTCCGTTTAGCAAGATAAGGTCTCAGTTTAGAGAGACAAGGTCTCCGTTTAGCGAGATAAGTTCTCCGCTTAGCGAGATAAGGTCTACATTTAGAGATAAGATGTTCGTTTAGCGAGATAAGGTTTCCGTCTAGCAGATTAGATTTTCGTTTAGCGAGATAAGGTCTCCGTTTAGTGAGATAAGGTCTCCATGCTGGTCTACATTCTCGACTCAATCTTGAGGATCCCAGGTTCAATTCCCGACCGGGACAGAAATGATTGGGTTTGTTTCCCTTCACCTAGCAATACATAGGTAAGCCAGAGTCAAGTAATTATGAAAAGAAGGCGCCAAGCCGAGCGAGTAGTATAGTGCAAGGAGAGCAGTGTGGAGAACAGATGTACTGTAATTTTAAAGAATACAGTATACCAAGAGTTTTTGAGACTTTTTAGCTATGTGTTGCATCTGGTGCTGGGGCCAGATTCACGAAGCAGTTACGCAAGCACTTACGAACCTGTACATCTTTTCTCAATCTTTGGCGGGTTTGTTTACATTTATTAAACAGTTAATGAACTCCGAAGCACCAGGAGGCTGTTTATAAAAATGACAAAAGTTGATTGGGAGGTTTTCATGCTTGTAAACTGTTTAATAAATGCAACCAAAGCCGTCAAAGATTGAGGAAAGATGTACACGTTCATAAGTACCTGCGTAACTGCTTCGTGAATCTGGCCCCTGAAGTCTAGTATCTTGTCTATATAGGCCAAGGAATTCTTTATAATTTTTAAATTCCAATGTTAACATTGTCTATCTAAAGTTAAATTTGGGTTGATGATTTACTTCTAAAATAAGATGTAGTAGGTCTTTTCTTAGTTTAGTGTGAGTTTGTCGATTGGCATCTAGGAGGGGACTTTTTAATTTGTTATTTACGATATTATTTAGTGTGCGTGGGTTGGGGTCTGAATAGATGAAGGTAGTATCGTCAGCAAATAGTATAGGTTCAAGAAAGTTAAGAGACATTTGGAAAATCATTGATGTATATAAGCAATAGGAGAGATCCCAAGATGATGCCCTGTAGCACTCCTATGGTTAGTGGTAGAGTGGGGGGGGGGGAGGTAATGTTATTGATGGCTACATTACAACACTCCATCACCATAACACCTCCATTGCCACCATAACACCTACATCACCACCATAACACCTACATTACCACCATAACATCTACATCACCACTACCACTATAACACCTCCATTATCACCACAACACTTCCATCACTGACACAACACCATAACACCTCCATCACCATCACAACACCTCCATCACCATCACAACACCTCCATCACCACCACAACACCTCCATCACCACCACAACACCTCCATCACCACAATACCCAGACAACCATGCTGGAAATTTTATCTAAAGTCTAATACTGTATTCTGAATACTGAGAACATATGTTTAGGCAGTGTCCACATTGCAAGAACAGCAGAAAACTTACATTGATAGCTTGAGTTTCAGTGATATCTTTTCAGAGCTATGCACCGAAAAGTGCCAACGTACACTGAAGGCCAAGAGTTGGCACTGAAATATATGTGGTGCATCACGCAGCTAGCAGCTGCTGCCGCCCACGACGTCTTCGTGATGGTGTACTCCTCCCTGGACGATACCAACCATGGTTCCAAGACAATCAAGGACTATTGCAATCAGCTTGGCATGTTCGAGGTTTACACCAGTCTCAAACAAGATGGCTTTCCGGACAATATTCTAAAGGTCAGTCCAAACAAAGCGCTTTTGTATGACCTTAAAATAACAAGAAAGTTAATGGAAAACTTGAAGGCTGATAAAGTGAAGGATGCTGTTATAAAAGAACTCTTGGAAGTTATCAAACAACTCGTGTTCTCTCGGAACGCCTTGTGCCATAACCAGCTCCAAAGTCTTAGTATTGATGATTTTAGGAAGAATATTGTGCAACTGAAGGCATACTTGAGGACATTATATACTTTGGCAGGGACAATCTCCAGTAATGAAACTTCAACAGACTCTTCCCTTCTCTTTTTTACCGACCATCTCGATGCCCTGTTTGCCCAGTGTGAACTCCACACACGCCCGCCAACCGAGATCAAGCTCTTTTATTTTAATGAAAAACCGTCTACAGATGACAAGAGCATCCAAGCTTCCACTGGAAACATTACAGATGACAAGAGCGTCCAAGCTTCCACTGGAAATGCTACAGCTGACAAGAGTGTCCAAGCTTCCACTGGAAATGCTACAGATGACAAGAGCATCCAAGCTTCCACTGGAAACACTACAGATGACAAGAGCGTCCAAGCTTCCGCTGGAAACACCACAGTTGACAAGAGCGTTCAAGTTGAGCAAGGCAGTTATGACAATGATCAAATCGCACATCCAGGTGCTCCAAACACCTCTGTACAACATGCAATGCTTCTCATCATAAAATCGATACTGACCATCCTATGGAATGATCCAATGAGCACTAGAATAAAAGTGTTGTGCTGGGTTGTTTTGGGTTTAACATTGACAGCATTGCTTCTCATCAGCAGTCTAGCCTTCACCACTCTCCTCTATATCAGCATCATGGTGAAAGAAATCATCAAAACCCTCTTTAGACTGGGCCTTAGACTGTGTATGTGAATTTTTTGTCCTGAGTTGATAGATTTTAGCATTAGTTTAAAAGATAGAGAATTCAGATATTGACTGAACTGAACTGACTAGAGGGTGGGAGTATGAGAGGAAAAGAGAATGGGTGAAATAGACACGACAGACAGACAGACAGACAGACAGAACCAGAGACAGAGGTCCAGGCACTACTGGGTGCCCCAACCAGTATAACTGTAAATGTGTACAAAAACAAATCAACTACTTTATGCATAATTGTTAAATTTAAATGGTAATTACATACATTCTTTTATTTGAATTTAATGCTAATAATCAATAAATATATTTTTGTGATTTCGGCCAAAGTTGCAAATATATCCAACTGATGAAAATAAATAGGTCATTTAAAAAATAAAATTTTAAAAACTGTACATTTATATACAAACTTTAAACAATAAATTGTTTCTATTAGATATAAGCCAGAAAGTATATTAAAAATAAAGAAAATATGTAGGTGGTCTTTTGGCCCATATGAGGCAGCTTCCAATAACAATACAGATTACCAAACCCCACACATTCATTTATTCCTGCATGTCTAACCTTCCCTCAAAGTGATCCAACGCTCTGATGTATATTGTGTTATCTAGTCATTTATGCCATAAATCAACAACTTTATGTTGAAACCTTTTGCCTTTCTAGAGAATGTAAATTAAGCTTTCGTAATCCATAGTATCTCTTAATAAGGAAGATATCTAATTGTTTTACTTTTCTGTAATCAATCAAGTGAATTCATGTCTCTGTATCCAACATTTATCAGCATTACACTATCCCTCCTCTCCACCTTTCTTCCCGAATACTCCCCTCTTTTCAAACATCTCTCACTCTCTGCCCTCCTTCGCTTCCCCCCTCCCCTCCTCCCTCTCAAAAATATATAACAGACCATTGAAACTGCTAAATAAGTCAACTGACAACACAACCATCATTTCAGACTTGACTTCATGACAATTACAAGGAGTAGTTATAGTTGGATTACATGCCAACATTTCTTAGTGTTGCACTGGGGCTGACCAACCCAAACCCATACACTCCCATAACCAGCGTGCTTTGTATACAGATTTCTTATTTCTGATGTTTGTCACTGTCAGTTATTTATCCACGATGACCTAGGTGCTACATGGTAACTTCTTGTTCACTAGGAAGTTTGTAATAGCAGAGGTATAGTTCAGAGTTATAACAAATATTGTGAGGGATAACTGTATCCATTATCCACTTGGATAATTGTATCCAAGTACTGTATGGAATTCTTGCCTTCGGAAAGACATAACTGCTCAGGAGAAAGTTCACCACTGGGCGACAAAAATCCTTCAAGAACTAAGTTGACTCTCATTCCAGGAATGATTGAAGGCCACAGGACTAACAACACTGCAAACCAGGATGTAAGGGGGGGGGGGGAGGGGGAATCTCATCAAAAACTTTTAAAATACTTAACAAATTGGATGATGGTGATCCAGTCAATTTCTTCAAAAGGTCAGATGTAACACAGAGAAGGAACAATGATTTAAGCTCAACAACCCATAATATAGTACAGAAAATAGAAGATGCTTTTTCAGCCATAGGATTATACTGTAAACTCCATGGAACTTCCTATCCACTAAAGCCGTATATGTAAAAACACTGATGAAATTTAAAAATCCAGCTGGATAAAATCATCAGGACAAAAGGGGGAACCTGTGACAAGCTGCCAGCTTCCTGTCCTCATCGAGGTACAGTACTGTAATTTATGAGATAGTGACCCTCAGGTAAATTCAGGTATGTACTAAATAAGCCAAGGAATGAATATTTTATTTGAATATTTGTTTGCACATTTAGGCCTATGAGAGGTTAGTTTTATGGTTAGTCTGTTGCAGCTCTTTTATGTCCTTTAGAATTACAACAATGCAGTATATCTGATCATATTTTGTATATTACCTTAAGGTGCAATAGTTTTTGTTCATGGATTGTTTAATTCAAGGATTATTTCACTTGGATAAGCCTTTAGAAGATACGTCTTATCTTTTGCAGATAAGATAATGTAATGCAAATCATTCTGGCTAAACTTGGATAACACCAGAGCCAAAGAGTCAGCTAGTTTCCCCAGTTCTTACATTTTTTACAGATGCCATGATCAAATATTGAGGCAATGTAGTGGGACATAACCAACATCCCCGCTGGATTCCCCCAGAGTCCAAGGCTTACAAGCACCAATATTATGTTTATACTTGTGTTGTTATAATATTGATGAACTAAATTAGTGTTAAATATATGCACTTGTGTATGCTATGATTATTCTTACACATGCTATTATGCTACCTAATATTATTCCACATGTTAACCTAATGTATATTATATGTGGTAAAATATTTGAATAAAAGTGATATCCAAATAATACAAAAAATTTGGAATTAGGTATTCCTTTTTATGTATGTACTGTGCATCATGTTTGTTTAGTCTAGAAGTGAGTTAACGTACATAATGTGCATAAATAATATTTGACATCAAGCAAGAATGAATTATCTGTGATTCTTGTTTGAGGGGCTGAGTTATGTTGTGTAGTAAAAATTTATTTGTAATTGTAAAATTTGACATTGTAAAATTTAAATTAAAAAAAAAAAGACATTGTAAAATTTTATTTTAAATTGCTTGCATTTTGTCAAGTAGTTTCAGTCTTTCCTTGGAATTTTCTCCTATACTAATCTTAACTTTTAATAGGTCAAATATATAAACAAAATAAGTGAAGCACACCTTGGAAAACTATACAAAGGACACTTGTCACTCTGGAAAGCCAAGAAAGCAGTCATGCAGACAGTGCACCAGTGATTCAGTTATGTCTGGAAATGTCTTTCTGAAGAAGATTGTTCACATGTCTTGTGTGACCCATCATGTAACTTTAACATGGATGAGGTGGTCTTTTCTTTGCCCCCACCGCTGGAAAGTTCCTCAGATATTTGTTTTGCTACCACAACAGGGCTGGAGAAGACCAACATCACTGCCCTAGGTAAGAGTACTCCTATGTACTGTTCCCACTTTTTATGTTTGCACACAATGGGTGGCTATGCTATTTTACTCTAAAACTACATATTGCCCTACATCAGTAATCAACAGGGTACTTATATTGTGAATGTGTTGGCATAATATGTAAACTTTACTATCTGACAAACAACTACAAAAGAGAAAAATAATATAGCATTTTTACCATCTAACTCTACACATTTTATGCAACCTCTGGATATGTTGTTTGGCACAGTGAAATTGGCTTGGAACTCTCATGCTAGTATGTGGATAGTGGACAATCAAAGTAGCTTGCTAATCTATCTTCTTGAGGTTATCTTGAGATGATTTTGGGGTTTAACGTCCCAGTCCTCGATCAGGCCTCTTTCTTGTTACACCCTCCCAGGAAGTAGCCCGTAGCAGCTGTCTAACTCCCAGGTACCTATTTACTGCTAGGTAACAGGGGGCATCAGGGTGAAAGAAACTCTGCCTATTTGTTTCCACCTCCACTGGGTATCGAACCCGGAAACTCAGGACTACGAATCCAAAGCGCTGTCCATTCAGCTGTCAGGCCTGTAACTAGACAACATTCCTTCCCTACTTTCTCTCAATACATTGATAATGGCACCCCAGTCATTATCATGGCTGGCTTCAGGAAGTGTGGCCTACACATCATTGATTTCGATGCTTCTGACTATATTACCCCAAAATTGTCACAAATGAAACCACTTCACCAGCAACTGTCTTATGGGAGGATGTTGATCAAGGAATGACAAAGATGGCATGCCAAATTAATCCTTACATTATTATCACTGGCATCTTGTTAACACACTTGCAGTGTTCTATGTGGTATGCCTTGCTAACTCTCAATTATGTTAACCAAGTTAATGTGCCAATGATGAAGTTATAGCCTTTGTGACTAGATGACTAATATAAATTGCCTATTGTCTTTTTACACTGAAGACACATGCCAAAACACAACACAAATTGATAAAGGAAAGGTATAGATTCTCAGTGAACAAAAACTCAGCGTTGAATGAAATGAAACTCCTCATTCTGGTGGATCTTTGGTGGCTTCCTTGTTGCTAGCTCTCTGGATAACTCCACTCAATTCAATCTATGCCTGACCCTTGCAAGTCATTGTGGGCCTACTGGAAACCTGAGGCCATATCCTAGCCCCCCTCTAGAGCCATGAGGAGCAGAAGATCCTAGATGGCTATCCAAGAAAAAGGGTACCAGAAAGGTGAGCAAAACCAAGAACAATCAGCAAGGTAAGCAGATCATAAAAAATGACACACGAAACACTGAACTGGGCAAACTACCCAGTCATGAAGCAGTTCACTCATTACTACCACCTGCACACCAGGTGAATATGCACCCAGTTCATTAATCCCCTAGCCCTCACTGTCAGTCATTTAGTCAGGAATATGGAAAAACTGAAACTTCTGAATGGAGAAGGGAGGGTCCAAGGAGCCATCAAGGACCCATCAGAAAGAGGCCTTTTATGCATTCAATGCTGGCTTTCTGGGAGGGTTCTTAAGGTGGTTCCTTGTTGCTGTCACCACTGAGAACAAAACCAAAGGATTTAGTAAAATCCTAAAAAAAACAGTATGAGGACATGTTTAGCACCCCAATAAATGCCCTGAAAGTGGAAGATCCAGACAGCTTCTATATGCATGATATCCAAACCCTGAAAATGTAACTGATATCAACATGAATGCTGCAGATTTTGAAAGAGAAATTGACAACTTGCCCATGCACTCAGCCCCAGGTCCAGACTCATGAATTCAATATTTATAAAGAAATGTAAAGTGCCACTAGTACAGACACTCAGTATAGTGTGGAGGAAAAGCTAGGACATACAGGACATACGAAAAGCCCTTAAATCAGCAGATATAGTTCCTCTACACAAGGGAGCAAAACATTGGCTAAGAATTACAGACCAGTTGCACTAACGTCCCACATAATAAAAGTATAGTACTTGAGAGAGTGATTAGGAGTCAGATTTCCAGTGTTATGAAGACCAATGACCTCCACAACCCAGGCCAAAATGGATTTAGAGCAGGAAGATTGTGCACCTCACAGCTACTTGACCATTGTGATAAAATCACTGAGGCATTAGAAGAAAAGCAGAATGCAGATGTGGTATACAGTGACTTTGCAAAGGCATTTGATAAATGTGACTATGGAATGATAGCACACAAAATGAGTAACAGTTAATCAAATAAAATCAAGCCCAAGTACAGTGGAAAGATTTGTACCTCAGGGCACAATCCTTGCACTGCTGCTTTTCCTTATTCTTATATCAGATATAGACAATCATACATGTCACAGGTTTGTATCATCACTTGCAGATGACACAAATTCAGCATGAAAATTACTTCAGTTGAAAACATTGAAACACTACAAGCAGATATTAATGAAGTTTTTGACTGGTCAGCAGAACATGATATTTAACAGTGATAAATTCTAGGTACTTAGGTGTGGTAAAAATTAGGGCCTTAAACAAAATGCAGAATACAAAACACAATCAAATCTGCCCATATTAGGAAAACAACATGTAAAGGATCTGGGAATAATGATGTCTGACTACCTAACTTTTGGGAAGCATAACTTAGCAAATATAGTGTCAGCCAGAAAAATGATAGGATGGATTACAAGAACCTTCAGATCCAGGGATCCCATCACAATGATCATTGTTCAAATCACTCGTACTGTCCCGGCTTGAGTACTGCTCGATACTCACTTCCCTCTTCAGAGCAGGAGAAATTGCCAAAATAGAGAATACAGAGAACATATACGGCATGCATAGACACGCTAAAGCACCTAAACTATTGAGATCGTCTCAAAGCTTTCCAAATGTACTCTTTAGAAAGAAGACAAGAGGGGTATCAAATAATATATACATGGAAGATACTGGAAGGCCAGGTCCCAAATTTACACAATAAAATAACATAATGGAGTGAACGATATGGAAGGAAATGAAGAATAGAGCCAGTAAAGAACAGAGGTGCCATAGGCACAAATGCTGTAGTGGATACATGGGCTTGCAGGCTGCTCCAAGCAACGGCCTGTTGGACCAAGCTTTCACAAGTCTAGCCTGGCCCCGGGCCAAGCTTGGGGAGTAGAAAAACTCCCAGAACACCATCAAGGTAAAGTATCCACCAGGGGTGGATACTTTACCTTGGCTAAGTACCTAGCCACTAGCACTCTGTTGGAACATAAAATCTTTGAGCTTAAATATCAGATGGACCGGCAAACTTAAGAACATCATGGGCCTGAGAATAGACCATAAAGTTGGCTAAAGATGATGACTTTGCAGATGACCCGAGACAAACAGGCATTTGAACTAAGGTCCAGGGACGCTGGATTAACAAAGAGAGCATCACCGCCTTACGTTATTAATGGTGCTGAGGTAATAGTGAATGGCCCCAAATGAACACAACAAATGATGTACCCCCAGCCAAATCAACCAAAGGACCCCTTACAGAATCCAGCCATTTTAGTCTTAAGTCAGAAAGGAAAAAAAAAAAGAGGGTTGTAAACAAAGAAAACTACCCCAGGACCAAAAGAACCAAACTCCCACTTCCAGAGGAGAGCATGGAGCTTCTCAACCCTACAACCAGAAGTGAGGGCCAACAAAATCAAAGCATTGAAGAGGTAATCCCAGACTAAAGGGGCAACAAAAGAAAGAGGTGATGAGTTAGAACCAAAACTTTGTCCAAAGATCAAGGCTCAAGAGGAGTGCGAGAGGCCGGAGGTGAAAAATGCCCGAGACAACTGTGAAGTGACACCGATCAAACATCAGCACTGATTGCCAACAGCAACAGCTCCACCAAGGCTGAACAATACAAGGTGTCAGCATTTGGCATAAGAAGCAGATTCACAAATAACCACACCATAAATGACAGGACCACCTGCATAAAAACTGAGGACAAGTGACAAAAAGCAAGAAAAAGTTACAAGGAGCCCCAAGAAATCTTATACAGTACAGTATATTTGAATAGCTTAGGAATGAATTTACATAGCCACCTTCCTTGAGAATAGGGAAATTATAAAATGAATTAGTCGAAGGATAAGTATGTAAGGGTTAATGTTAACCTTCTCTCTTGTATTTGTATCTTTACTAAGTTAATTTTTTCTGTCACAAGTTAAGCTTTCCTTGCCACTTAAAATATGTTTGTGGGATGATGATAAAAAAAACGTCAAAATACAAATAAATTTTTAATCTTTATTTATTACCTGTACAAATACATTAACAGATATCAGTAATAAAACACTGAGCTAAATTTACTTCTGGCACTCCACAGCTCTCCTAGAAGCCTGGATCCCAGTCTGTGACCTGCTGCACCTGGTTTACCTTGTAACAAATCAACGTGTCACCAGGTGCAAAGTGTAATGATTCATCGGCAAACTTTAAACCACATTCCTTGCTCTTACCAATAGAGGCCACTTCTGACTTAACATGGCGCATTGATGTGAGCATTCCTGCAAATGAGAACATATAGATAACGGTAAATCTGATATTTACACAAAATACAGAATCATGCTAGTAACTATTATTGCATAAATCGAGTGTTGAATGTAATAAAATACCCTTTTCTGGAGGTGGTTGAACAATAGCTCCCTGTAGCTAGCTCTATGGGGTAGCTCCTCGCATGATTCACATCTGCTCTATGAGTCCGTATTGTCTTCCGGAGACCTGGCCCCCCTCACAGATGCGGAGATCAGGGAATTCCTAGACTTACCCTCACTAAGGACACATCCAGAAAATAAGTGAAGCAGAATAGACAACTGCAAGGTTCACAGAGAAACTGTGAAACTGATCTCCCCATGTCCAAGCTCTTCCTCCACATTATACTGAGTGCCTGTGCTACTGACACTTTGCATTTCTTTATAAATATTGAATTCCATGAGTCTGGACCTGGGTCAGAGTGCATGGGCAAGTTGTCAATTTCTCTTTCAAAATCTGCAGCATTCGTGTTGATATCAGTTATATTTTCAGGGGTTTGAATATTACACACAAAGAAGCTGTCTGGATGACACACATAAAAGTTGTCATGCATAAAGAATTCTTAGGGTGACAGTCGCACCTGAGCTGGCAAGTATGCACTACCACAACATGCACTACACAAATATTCATAATACTAATTCTTTTTTAGGTATGCAAAATCAAGCATATCAGAGATGGGTGGAAATATACTTACCCTCGTGAATAACATCTTGTCCTCGTATAACCCGATAAAGTGCGTCTTTCTTGAGCACACCTTTGACACACCGACAACCAGCAACGGGGACCTTCTTTTTGCCTTCTGTTATTATGAACTCTTCAATTACATTGGCCTCTCCTATAATAAAAGATGTCAATATTGTACTGAATCATAGAACAATAATTCACAAAATAGAAAGTACTGTATAATAAAAAGCAATTTGCCTGGGTTGAATTGTTTGTACTATGTAAAATTGTTAAATTCCTTTCCTCAAGAGGTGTAATACCAATATTTTGAGCAAGATTATTATTTTATATACATACAGTGTGTATATGTATATTTATATATATATATATACACAGTGTATATATATATATATATATATATATATATATATATATATATATATATATATATATATATATATATATATATATATATATTAGTATATTTTGGTAGCAGTCTTTCCTGTAGACATATTTTATTAAATATGACCGAAAAAGTAAGATTAATAATTCTAACACGAATTTTCTCAATCTTTCGTACATTATGCTTCACTGTTGGAGGTAAATCAAAAATCACTTCTCCAAAATTCATTTTTATTTCTAGTCTGACGCGACACGGGCGCGTTTCGTAAAACTTATTACATTTTCAAAGACTTCACAAATACACAACTGATTAGAACTTGCGTTTCCCTGATTTTATATCTACATTTGAGTGAGGTGGGAAGGGTGATGTGGCATTACATTTGAGTGAGGTGGGAAGGATGATGTGGCATTAGAGGATATTAATAGGGTATTAAAAGTATCAACACAAGACAGAACACGAAACAATGGATATTGAATAGAAGTGTTTGTAGAAAGCCTATTGGTCCATATTTCTTGATGCTTCTATATTGGAGCGGAGTCTTGAGGTGGGTAGAATATAGTTGTGCAATAATTGGCTGTTGATTGCTGGTGTTGACTTCTTGATGTGTAGTGCCTCGCAAACGTCAAGCCGCCTGCTATCGCTGTATCTATCGACGATTTCTGTGTTGTTTACTAGGATTTCTCTGGCGATGGTTTGGTTATGGGAAGAGATTATATGTTCCTTAATGGAGCCCTGTTGTTTATGCATCGTTAAACGCCTAGAAAGAGATGTTGTTCCAGTATTTTGAGCAAGACTATTATTTTATATACATACAGTGTGTGTGTGTGTGTAATTACCTAAGTGTAATTACCTAAGTGTAGTTACAGGATGAGAGCTACGCTCGTGGTGTCCCGTCTTCCCAGCACTCTTTGTCATATAACGCTTTGAAACTACTGACGGTCTTGGCCTCCACCACCTTCTCACTTAACTTGTTCCAACCGTCTACCACTCTATTTGCGAAGGTGAATTTTCTTATATTTCTTCGGCATCTGTGTTTAGCTAGTTTAAATCTATGACCTCTTGTTCTTGAAATTCCAGGTCTCAGGAAGTCTTCCCTGTCGATTTTATCAATTCCTGTAACTATTTTGTATGTAGTGATCATATCACCTCTTTTTCTTCTGTCTTCTAGTTTTGGCATATTTAATGCTTCTAACCTCTCCTCGTAGCTCTTGCCCTTCAGTTCTGGGAGCCACTTAGTAGCATGTCTTTGCACCTTTTCCAGTTTGTTGATGTGCTTCTTAAGATATGGGCACCACACAACAGCTGCATATTCTAGCTTTGGCCTAACAAAAGTCATGAACAATTTCTTTAGTATATCGCCATCCATGTATTTAAATGCAATTCTGAAGTTAGAAAGCATAGCATAGGCTCCTTGCACAATATTCTTTATGTGGTCCTCAGGTGATAGTTTTCTATCTAGAACCACTCCTAGATCTCTTTCTTTATCAGAATTCTTTAAAGATTTCTCACATAATATATAGGTTGTGTGGGGTCTATGTTCTCCTATTCCACATTCCATAACATGACATTTATTAACATTAAATTCCATTTGCCAAGTGGTGCTCCATATACTTATTTTGTCCAGGTCTTCTTGAAGGGCATGACAGTCATCTAAATTTCTTATCCTTCCTATTATCTTAGCATCATCAGCAAACATGTTCATATAATTCTGTATACCAACTGGTAGATCATTTATGTACACAATAAACATCACTGGTGCAAGAACTGAACCCTGTGGTACTCCACTTGTGACATTTCTCCATTCTGATACATTGCCTCTGATTACTGCCCTCATTTTTCTATCAGTCAGAAAATTTTTCATCCATGATAGAAGCTTACCTGTCACCCCTCCAATATTTTCCAGTTTCCAGAACAACCTCTTATGTGGAACTCTGTCGAAAGCCTTTTTTAGGTCCAGATAGATGCAGTCAACCCAACCATCTCTTTCCTGTAATATCTCTGTGGCTCGATCATAGAAACTGAGTAAATTCGATACACAGGATCTTCCAGATCGAAAACCATACTGTCTGTCTGATATTATATCATTTCTCTCTAGGTGTTCTACCCATTTAGTTTTGATTAGTTTTTCCAATACTTTCACTATTACACTTGTCAATGATACAGGTCTATAATTGAGGGGGTCTTCCCTGCTGCCACTTTTGTAGATTGGAACTATGTTAGCCTGTTTCCACCCGTCTGCTACGATTCCTGTACACAGGGATACCTGAAAGATCAGGTGAAGTGGAATGCTGAGCTCAGATGCACATTCTCTCAGAACCCATGGTGAAACGCCATCTGGGCCAGCTGCTTTGTTCTTACCGAGCTCCTTGAGCATTTTTTCCACTTCGTCTCTAGACACTTCTATGTGTTCTATGTTGTTCTCTGGAATTCTTATTGTATCTGGTTCCCTAAAGATTTCATTTTGTACAAACACACTTTGGAACTTTTCGTTTAGTGTTTCACACATTTCCTTTTCATCTTCCGTGAATCTATTTCCCATTTTCAACCTCTGAATATTATCCTTTACCTGCAATTTGTTGTTTATGAATTTGTGTGTGTGTGTGTGTGTGTGTGTGTGTGTGTGTGTGTGTGTGTGTGTGTGTATGTATATATATATATATATATATATATATATATATATATATATATATATATATATACAGTATATATATATATATATATATATATATATATATACATACATACATACATACATACATACATACATACATACATATATATATATATATATATATATATATATATTAGTATATTTTGGTAGCAGTCTTTCCTGTAGACATATTTTATTAAATATGACCGAAAAAGTAAGATTAATAATTCTAACACGAATTTTCTCAATCTTTCGTACATTATGCTTCACTGTTGGAGGTAAATCAAAAATCACTTCTCCAAAATTCATTTTTATTTCTAGTCTGACGCGACACGGGCGCGTTTCGTAAAACTTATTACATTTTCAAAGACTTCACAAATACACAACTGATTAGAACTTGCGTTTCCCTGATTTTATATCTACATTTGAGTGAGGTGGGAAGGGTGATGTGGCATTACATTTGAGTGAGGTGGGAAGGATGATGTGGCATTAGAGGATATTAATAGGGTATTAAAAGTATCAACACAAGACAGAACACGAAACAATGGATATTGAATAGAAGTGTTTGTAGAAAGCCTATTGGTCCATATTTCTTGATGCTTCTATATTGGAGCGGAGTCTTGAGGTGGGTAGAATATAGTTGTGCAATAATTGGCTGTTGATTGCTGGTGTTGACTTCTTGATGTGTAGTGCCACATCAAGAAGTCAAAAGGGCGGAGGTTTCCACACTGCAGTCTACACAAAGGAAACAAACATAGGAATGTGCCTAAATGCCAACAGCGACTGCCCTGACAGGTACAAGAGGAGTGTTGTTAACGCATACGTCGACCGTGCTCTCAGCCACAGCTCAGAATGGAAGCAAGTCGACGAAGAACTCTGTAGGGTAAGGCAGGTTCTAGTCAATAACGGCTTCTCCAATGGTTTCATCGAAGACATCATAAGAAGGAAAGTGAAAAGCCATGCAACCTCCGAAGAGACAACTAACACAACACCTATACCCCCTATTAGACTATTTTACAGGAACTTCTTTTCCACAGCTCATAAAACAGAGGAAAGGGTCCTGAAAGATATTGTTAATAGAAACGTTATCCCTACAGACAAAAATCAGAGGATACAACTGACGATTTACTATAAAACCAGAAAAACGGCCAGCCTACTCATGAGAAACTCTCCAGACACGAAACAGAACGCTTTAAAAGAGACTAACAACACTACACATCAAGAAGTCAACACCAGCAATCAACAGCCAATTATTGCACAACTATATTCTACCCACCTCAAGACTCCGCTCCAATATAGAAGCATCAAGAAATATGGACCAATAGGCTTTCTACAAACACTTCTATTCAATATCCATTGTTTCGTGTTCTGTCTTGTGTTGATACTTTTAATACCCTATTAATATCCTCTAATGCCACATCATCCTTCCCACCTCACTCAAATGTAATGCCACATCACCCTTCCCACCTCACTCAAATGTAGATATAAAATCAGGGAAACGCAAGTTCTAATCAGTTGTGTATTTGTGAAGTCTTTGAAAATGTAATAAGTTTTACGAAACGCGCCCGTGTCGCGTCAGACTAGAAATAAAAATGAATTTTGGAGAAGTGATTTTTGATTTACCTCCAACAGTGAAGCATAATGTACGAAAGATTGAGAAAATTCGTGTTAGAATTATTAATCTTACTTTTTCGGTCATATTTAATAAAATATATATATATATATATATATATATATATATATATATATATATATATATATATATATATATATATATATATATATATATATATATATATATATGCATGCAACTGAAGACTCACACCTCAGAGATGATTCGAACCCATACTGCCAGGAGCACTCTGCAACTGGTGTACAGGACCAGGATATGCCTGGGGACCATTCAGGCTTGTTTGCATTTGTGTCCCTCACATGTGCCCCAAAGAATGAGGTGATTTGACTTCTTTCTGGTTAGTTTGGCATTCGTCCAAAACATTTTTCAGAGGGAGTTTGGGTGTCTTGTAGCCTCCTTTCATTACTTTTGAAATGTGATTTTGGTGCTGTCCTGCATCCAGAGGGGCAGGCAGGCAGGCAGGCAGGCAGGCAGGCAGGCAGGCAGGCAGGCAGGCAGGCAGGTAGACAGATAGTCTCTAGAATATCTGGCATTTGTGCACATGTCCAGTATATGCAAATACAAAGCACAGAGGAATTACCCCTACTGAGGGATATACCTAAATTAATGTGGTTGCATGATGTTATCGTTGTGCAAGAAGCTCAATGTTATATATCATGTGAACTCCATTTGCAACTTAATTAATCAATCTCTTCTACTCATGAATCTTTACACAAAACCAAGACACATAAGTAACAAGAATATAGCCTACCACAGTACCACAGAACCTCTTGGGCACAAAGGATTATCTTACTGTATACCACATTCACTAAAGCATGACCATGGTACAGACTTGTCTTGCCAGCCCACTTTGATGCCTGAAACATGACTACAAAGCTTTAAAGTCATTAAGGTCCATAAAATTTAATTTACTAATTTATTTATAATACTCACCTAAAATTTCCTCTACATCTTTACATGGTAAAATCTTTGATATTTCATTCTTCAGATCTTCTACAAGATGATATATCACATTGTTCTCCTTGATCGTCACCCCTTGCTCCGCAGCCATTTTTCGCACGTCAGCTGGTACTTCAGTATTAAATGTGTATATAAATCCTGTAATAAATGCACTTCTGTTACTGAAATAATTAAGGTCAGGCTATAAAGACAGTTTTGTAAATACATTCTACTTGTAGTCAACAACATATTATCTGAACACTTATTATCTCAAGAGACCTAAATGTGAAAGTAGAAATAAAAATATATATTTCATATGGTGTTTATCTAGTTTATGCATCTCATCACTTATATGCAAATAATTGGTTATGTCATTACAAATTTTAGTGATTAAATGATTCATTCTCACAAAGCCACTAACACCATGATTTCCTAGTACTGTACAATGACTGCGAACTGGTATTAATTACTGTAACTTAAATTTATTTTCGTTTGACTAATTGTCAGTAAGTATTGCAATTTAAATGTAATTCTGTTAAGAGTTGTGCATAGGAGTGTGTTAATGTTAGAGTAATGTGATAGGAGCCTGGCCTGGTGTGCCCATGTTCCTCAGAGTAGGCCTGGGTCTGGTTGTGACCTAGTGACATGCAACAGCTGTTGCTAACCTCAGCACTTATCAGGTTACACTCTTTGACTAGACCACACACTAGAAGGTGAAGGGACGATGACGTTTCGGTCCGTCCTGGACCATTCTCAAGTCGATTGCGTTACACTCTTTGTAAAGTGTGCTGTGTAATTCTCTGGGATTATTGGTTCCCTGTACTGTTTTGGTCCACATCTTGTTTGCAATAAAGTACAACAAATGAAATTACTATTTAAATTATACCATTACTTAACTGAAAATATATTCTTCCTACTTGTATATACATAATACACCACTTGTGTATTATTATACTGTATATATTTGACGCATTTAATAGTGCATTGAAGTTATTAGTATCTTTAGTGGCCCTTAAATTGCACTGTGTTATTCTTTTAATTCCCTTCTTGTATTACAATATTAATTTACCTTCCCTCACTTTGAATATGTAAAGCGCTTTCTTCTACTTTACATCATATAAAGGATAAATCTTACACTGGAAGGTATCCTTATCAACATTTAAAGGATACCGGTAACTAATGAGTACATGTCATTCTCTTACTTTGATATCCAAACCACATCTGGATATCTTTTGGATATCCAGATATCCATTTGGATATCCTTTGATATCCAAATGGTTGTTTTTTTCTTGTTCTGATGTGTGGTTTGAATATCATATCTTTAGCCATGTTATTGTGACTATTTATTTAATCTAACCCCACAAAAATTTGATACTCATAATCTATAGAGGGGTAACTATGATATTCCTGATCATTGAGTGGAGAAGCCTTAAAGCTTCAGTAATCCTAATCCAGTTTGCTCGAGAAGCAGAATCATTTCCTTCCTCTTGGGGTGTACAATCACCCTACATGAAATATTGCAGGCATATTGAAAGTTAACTCAATTACTGTATAATATTTTGTTTGTTAATGATGCATTTGCCAAATAACCATTTATGTTTGTTTTCACCATCTTATTTTGTAGCAGTAAAACAACTTTTCAGGTTTTACTGCACCTACATATACAACCGTTTTGTTGTTGTTGTTTGTGCTGGGTTGAGCATACACCCCTCGGTACCACTGAAGATTGTGCTGCATTGAGCAAACACCCTTGAGAACCACTGAAGATTGTGCTGCATTGAGCAAACACCCTTGAGAACCACTGAAGAAATTGCTGCATTGAGCAAACACCCCTGAGAACCACTGAAGATTGCGTACTTAACGGTTCAAATAAAATTTGAACACCCATGGGTACTAATGCAGGGCTAAAATCTATGTCTGATTTTATTATAAAACAAACCATTGAATGCAGCAGCCAATGTCACATCACTGGGTGTGACTGTGCCAACCCCATAGCTGATAACTTCAAGTTGACACTCTTGACTATGGTAGGTGTCCAACACATTAAGGATGGCTTCCAATGTACCGTCAACATCCCCCTTCAGCACCAGAGACACTTGAGGCCCGGAATCATCATCTCTGTTTTCCTTCTGACGAGGCTCCCGTTGACGGCGCCTATACCTACAGAGGAGCGATTTTCAATAAAAGATATAAGAACGGGATGAAGAATTAGTACAGAAAGATCTCAATTTTAAATGGCAATGCATTTACAAGGATATAGTATAAAATCAAACAATGTAAAATAAATGCATAAACACTATTGAAAAATACTGTACTGTATAATGGATCTTGGGAAAATTGCTTATTAATCAAAATAACAATTCTGTACTGAAAAATCAATAATTGAATGTAAGGAAATATCCTTTCTTGGTAGGCTCTCGGTAACTCGCCAAGATAAGTATCCTGGTACAGTACTGTCAAGCCACAGAAAATGCACCAGGCCTCAGAGACCCTTCCCCCCACATTCCAACCGAGAGCCAGGACCAGAATCAGTCGTCATCTAGAAGACAAGGGGAGCTTGGGAACAGAGATCGACCAAAATCTGAGAAAAACCCTACTAAAATGAATTGACTCAGCAAAACAAGCAATTACAAGAAGAAACTAAGGTACCCTTTAGTAAACAAGGTACAGTATTTTCTGGGGAGAGCCCCTTGTGACTCCCTAAGACTACCATTTCCAACGTAGGTGCCCTCTACCATCAGTCGCAGAGTTCTCTGGCCTACCAAGGACACAGAGCCAGAACCTGGACCCCTCACAAAGACACAGGGAGCCATGACATATATATTAACACTTTCGCTGGCCTGGCGGGTGATCGCCGAACACCGCAAGGTCACCCGAGCATTGCCTGGTGAGCACACAACCACACTCCAGTGTTTATACTCTTTTCAGCTTTCTCACTTCAATTTTCAAGCTACGTCATTCAATTTGATATCAAATTGTTCGCAATAGAATGCTGCAAAGGGATACTTGCATATAAGAACATACAAGTCTCACTTTCCTATACTTTAAATCCACCGCACACCACAAGGTATCCTGAGCGTTGCCCGAGAGCTCACCACTCCAATGTTTATACTCTTTTTCTGGGGGGAGCCCCGTCGGCTCCCCGGAGCTTTACCGGCTGATATGCTAATGTCAGACTTTGGCATCAGTCATGTGTATGGAGTTCTAGGGCCTACCGGGGACCACGAGCCAGAACCTGGCCCCCTCAGAGAGGCAAGGGGAGCAATGGCCTATAGAAACCCCCGTGTGGTTGGAAGCATTCTATGTCTGCCATCGACCGGGTCAAGCATCCAGAAAGGTAAGCATTCCAAAACAAACCCCTATTCTGGTGAAAATTGCTACCTAAGCCGAACTAGTGAATAGAACTCTTCAACAGAAAACACGGAAACTAGTATGACGTCATACGTCACCGCGCCGCTGTCTGCGCAGCTCCCCCCTCCCCGGGAGGGGGAAGGGGGAGCCCCAGACCTCCCACGCCGGCTATCCACCCATCAGTTCTTCGGCTGATGCTATAGGCAATGGTTATGTGCTCCGGCTCCAGTGGTTGTTTCAGCACTGTACCTAGAGTGTGGTGTCTGTTTTCTAGGTGGTGCGTGAGCCGGGTGTGATTCTTCAGTACTCGGGCTGCATGCGCCTAGGGTTCCCTTCCCTAGGTGCCTTGTAAGTACTGCCCTTGGGGCTTGGGGCCACCTTCCACAAGTTCCTTGGGTCCTGCCCCTGCTTGGCCGTTTACCGCTTGGTTTTCGGCCGCTCTTTGTGTGCTCGGGTGTTCTGTCTCCCTTGTTCGCCTTAGAGTAAGGGGCGGTGTTTGCACTGGTGGGGCGCGGGGTACTGTGCAGCTTGTCTTTACCAATCATAGCGGCCGGCTCTGTTCCGCTTGGGTACGCTGTCCTCTTGCGGGGTTTTCTTTTTCTTTTGTTTATATACCTGGTGGGGGGGTCTGCCTTCGTTCTTGCCCCTTGTGTCCCTTGTGTTCTGAGTATTTCTGGTGGTACCCCCTGCTAGGTCCCCGTGAGTGTACACGTCCCGGGGGTTCAGCTCTTAGAAAGTTGTTTGGTAGCTTGGGTGCCGGTTAGCAGTACCCTGCCTGGGATTACCTGAGCGCGAGTCCTCTTAAAGTAAACGCTCGGGACCCTGGGAAACCCCTGGGGGCGCGCGGGTCCGATGGATGTGACCCCAGAGCCCCCCCCTCGCTTCCAGCGAGTTTGAGGGTTGCTCTCACCTTTTGTCTCTGGGTGACTCTCTGTTTTGCCTCCGTCTGCTGCCTGTGGGGTCGGTGACACCTTCGACCCGGTGTCCTGCGAGTTTGGTTGCTCGTTGTGGCTCGGTTACCCAGTTGTGCTAACAAAGCGGGTGCGGGCAGCAGGGGCGTTGCACTTGAGCCTTGGTGGTGGCAACGTTCTCGTGGTTTCCTCCCCGGGAGCCCCGGGGCTGCCCCGTTGTATTTCGTTTTGGGAGCTTGGGGGTGTTGGTTGCATCCACGCCCCCTTGTCTTTCCCCTGGTTCACCCTTCCTGCCTGCATCCGGTTCCTTACCGTCTGTAGGTTCAGGGCGGGGTGTTTCGTGGTGTTGAGACTCGGGCAGTCTCGGGGAATTCCCCTTCCGGGGTAGTGACGGGGGCATTTGGGCCTGTTCCTCCAGCCGTGTTGTATGAGTCTGCCAGTGGGCTCCCTTCCTTAGTGTTTTCACGGCTGCCCCGGTTTTCTGGTACGGCCGGGGCTTTGGGGGAACGGCTCGGCCCCGGGGCCTGTCGTGTAGGTTCCCGGGGCTGGGGAGGGGCTGCCTTGGGGGGGCCTTGGCCCCGTTAGACCCCGTGGGGGGTTTTATCCCCCTCTAGGCGGGGCTTGTGGTTACGCGGAGTGGGGTTTTTCCTCCCCACTCGCCGTACGTGCTGTTGGACGTCGGCCCCTCCCCGGGCTCGGTTCCTTGGCCTTTGAGTCGGTTGGTTCCGTCCTGTGGGTGGATGTTTCCTCCCCCGCTTTTTGGGACGGTGTTTTTGTCATGTTTCCCCGTTCGTTGGGGTTCTGCGTGACTTTTGATCTCGGGTGCGCCTGCGCCTTCGTGTGCCTTCGGGACTAGTGTTGGCTTCTGTGTTCTCGAGGGTACGGGACGGTTTTTCGCTACTTCCCGCATTATTGGAACGTCTGTCGGCTCCTAGTACTTGTCGCCCTGTTGGGCTACTTGTCGCCCTGTTGGGCTACTTGTCGCCCGGTTGGGCTCCTTGTCGCCCGGTTGGGCTACTTGTCGCCCGGTTGGGCTACTTGTCGCCCGGTTGGGCTACTTGTCGCCCGTTTGGGCTACTTGTCGCCCGTTTGGGCTACTTGTCGCCCGTTTGGGTTCCCTTTTTTTTGGGCTCTTTGCTTCTTTGGCCGGTTTTATTGTTCCTGCTTCCTCTTTTGGCTCCTTTTCTCGTGCAATAGTCCTGGCTGGCGCCTTCCCGCAGGGAGGGTGTGCGGTTCGGCCAGCGTGTTATGCGCATGCGCCGTGGAGTTTGTTTTGGTCTGGGCGATGGTTCAGTGCTGGGGTTTTGCGCCCTTTTTTGCTACAGTGCTTCGCCTCTCGTTCTTCTCCCTGGCTGCGGTATGTGCCCCTTTGCACCAGGGGTGTCCTGGTTCCCAGTTGTGGGGAGGACACCGCGGTTTTCTGTGTCATGGGTGTGGACCGCCTCCTTCGCCTCTCCCTGTTCTCCTGCGGGTCCGGCTCTGGCGTCTTCACCTGGCGGTGCTCCCAAGTTCTTCTGGGCACGGTTGAGTCGTGTCAAGTTCGAGCCACCATTCGCCAGGTGAGTTTCTGCGGTCTGGCGTCTTTTGGCCGGGCGCTGGATGCGGCGGTGTTCATATACCTGTTTTTATTTAGGTATAATTTTGTACGACTGAGACCGTTCGCACACCAGTGACTGTCCCTTTATCACCCCTTCCTGTCCCCCTCATGTGCATGTCCAACCCATGCTGGAGTCATTCAGGGGACCCTCCTTTTTTAATGTTGTGAGGTGTGGGGGTTGTAGGGTTGGTTCTGTACTCACCTGGTGAGGCTCCTGGCTGTGCTTGCAGGATTTGAGCTCTGGCTCTTGGGTCCCGCCTATCTGGTAGAACTTGCGGGATAGTACCAGCGGAGTGCAGTGGTGCTATTGGCACTTTTGGGGAACACTGTATTACCATCAGTGGTCTGTGCTTGTTACACGACCTACTTGCGAGCATAAGCCTTCTTGCTGGTTCGTCCGTGGACTTCCAGGGCGCACTGGCCTGTTTTCGTATGGCAGTTCCGGCCCGTCCTGGTTGTGGGGGTATGTGGACCGGTGGACTGCTCCTAGCAGCTGCCTGGTGGGCCATCCTCTGGCCGGTCTGGCCTGACCTTGGGCCGGGCTTGAGGTGTAAAAGAGCTCCCAGTACCTCATCCAGCAGGTATCGAGTGGGGTTTTCTCCGCCGTCGGTCGCCTGGTGCAGGTTTCTGGGCCTGCAGGGTTTTGTCGTGTCTCCGTTGGCCCTGTCTGGGGTCTGCCTGCTCCGTTCTCTGCCTTTGCAGAGGGGGGTTGCTATTTACATGTTGCATGTTGCAGTGGTGCCTGTTGCTGCTGCTGCTGCACGTGAGCATTGGTACCGTGTTTCACGGTGGCGTGTCCTTGTTCCTGTGTCCGGTTGTGGAGTGGCGCTTTGCTGCCGTTTTGTGCCTGGGGATTGCGTGGGGTTTTTGTCCCTGCCTGATTGTCCACCCCTGGTTGTTCTCCTGGTTTTTTTTTTTTTTTTTGTGCTTCTGCTCTTTCTTCCTGCCTCTTCTGCAGCAGGAATGTTCTGCGTGTGTTCTTAGGCGTTGGTCAGCCTGTGTCCTGTGATGTGCTTCTTTGTCTCGGTCTGTTGCAGTTGTTCGTGCCCCTTGGTTCGGGTCCTGTTCTGGCGGCGACCCTTCCGCCTTCTTTGGTTTTCCTAGCTTGCCCTGCCGGTTGTTGTTGTTTTACTTTTTTGGGGGGGTTCTTGCGATGTCTCGCGTCGGACCCGTCGTTTCTGAACTCCTGGCGGGCTTGCATGCTTCGGAGTTTTTCTGTTCGGCCGACGTTCCATCTCCTTGTGCCGCCTGGGTTTCGGTGGTCGCGCCCGAGATCTTCTCGCGGCTCCGCCTTTTTCCTGGGCTCGGGGGGGCCTTGTCGGGGCTGCTTATGTTCTGCCTCGTGGTCTCGCCTCCGGTTGGTGGTCAGGTGGCTTCGTGGTAGGTGTCCCACCTGCGTGCTTTCTTGGCAGCAGTATGGGGTATTTTGGCGGTCCTTCCTTTTCCTGTCCCTTCTTCGGTGGGTCCTTCTTGTTGGCTTGGTTTACTCTCGGCTTGGTTTTCTAGTAGGGGTTGGGGGCCGTCGTCTTGCCACATACTGTCGCCTCTTTTCGTGCGGCGCAGGCGGAGCCGCTTCCGCTTGCTTTCGGTCTTGGTGTTGCTTCTGCACCGTTAGTCAGCTGTCTTGTGCGTCATTTCACCTCCGGCCTGTTCGTGCGCCGCTTGCACCATCCTGGTCTCTGGTCAGCGTGCTCTGTCTTCTCCTCGGTTGGTAGTGCCCCTTCGGTTCCGGTGTGTTTTTTCGTCGGCTCTTTCCTTTGGGCCTTTGCCTCTGGGGGTCGGTTCGCTGTGTTTTCTTGCTCCTTCGGTTTTAGCGTTTTGGTTGTTTGATGGCAGCAGTCTCCATCTTTTCTGGCGGGGGGTGGGGCTGCTGCATTCTGGAGGGGTCCAGGGTTTGTTGGTGCTTTGTTGGTCGGGCCGGGGGTGTGTCGTTTTTGTGTTCAGTGGCGGCCCTCTGCTGTTGTTTGCGTGCCACGGCGTTTGGGTCCGGAGCGCGTTTTGCGTTGATCCGGTTCTGTTCTTCCCGGTTCGCGGGTGATGGTGTCCCGGGTGGTCAGCCGTGTTCTTGCGGCTAAGCTGCCTGTGTTCTTCCCTCATGCCTGTGGCGTTCGTGGCTTCGCTGCTCTCGCTGCCGTCTGGGCGACGTGGCCTTGCAGTCTTTCGGGCATGGATTTTTGGTGTTCGTGCAGGGGCCTTGCTGCTCGTGGTTCTCGTGTTGTTCCCGGGATTTTCGGGGCTGTGGCGCCTTGGGTTGGCGTTTGCTGCCGGTTGTCTCGCCTCCTTGGGGGGTGCGTGGTGTCCGCCTCCCGGTTTTGTCCCTTTGACCTTCCTCTGTGGGTAGTTAGCTCCGGGGAGCCGACGGGGCTCCCCCCAGAAAACCAGCGTTGAATGTAATGAAACGCCATTTTCTGGGTGAGACCCGGAGGCTCCCCGGCAACCCTCCCTCCCTCCGGTCGGCGTTTTTCGCGTGTTTTGACATCCAGCCTCAGAACTGATGGGTGGATAGCCGGCGTGGGAGGTCTGGGGCTCCCCCTTCCCCCTCCCGGGGAGGGGGGAGCTGCGCAGACAGCGGCGCGGTGACGTATGACGTCATACTAGTTTCCGTGTTTTCTGTTGAAGAGTTCTATTCACTAGTTCGGCTTAGGTAGCAATTTTCACCAGAATAGGGGTTTGTTTTGGAATGCTTACCTTTCTGGATGCTTGACCCGGTCGATGGCAGACATAGAATGCTTCCAACCACACGGGGGTTTCTATAGGCCATTGCTCCCCTTGCCTCTCTGAGGGGGCCAGGTTCTGGCTCGTGGTCCCCGGTAGGCCCTAGAACTCCATACACATGACTGATGCCAAAGTCTGACATTAGCATATCAGCCGGTAAAGCTCCGGGGAGCCTCCGGGTCTCACCCAGAAAATGGCGTTTCATTACATTCAACGCTGGTTTTTTTTTTTTTTTTGCTTTCTCACCTCAATTGCCACATATTTCGGCATCAGGCAGCAAAAGTTTTAAGTTATTCATTTATGCCACTACCAAGGAAGGCACCAAGAAAGTTACTTTTTTTCACACTACTTTTCTGTGGGAAGCCCCTCCAGCTCCTTGGAGCTATCAGGCTGATATGTGTTTTATTAGTCTAGGGTATCAGTCAATTGGAGTTCAGCCTACCAGGGACCACGAGCCAGAACCTGGCCACCCCAGGGGCCTCGTAGCCTGGCACAAGGGGCCTCGTAGCCTGGCGCAAGGGGCCTCGTAGCCTGGCGGATAGCGCGCAGGACTCGTAATTCTGTGGCGCGGGTTCGATTCCCACACGAGGCAGAAACAAATGGGCAAAGTTTCTTTCACCCTGAATGCTCCTGTTACCTAGCAGTAAAATAGGTACCTGGGAGTTAGTCAGCTGTCACGGGCTGCTTCCTGGGGGTGGAGGCCTGGTCGAGGACCGGGCCGCGGGGACACTAAAAAGCCCCGAAATCATCTAAAGATAACTAAAGATAACCCTCAGAGAGGCAAAAGGAGCAATGGCCTCTGGAAACCCCCAATGTATTTGGGGAAAATATAACCCACATCGCCTACCAGAGAGCATAACTCAAGAGAACTGATAAACGTGTTCACAAATGTACCTTAAGACCACTGACCAAATGGATCAAAGCAGAATATTGTTACATGTCAACAGCGCCATTCAAAGCTGGAGATTTTGCTGACCTGGAGAGCATGATCACCATCAGGTCAGGCAAGTTGACCTGATGGGGGTCAGGTTGACTTGCCTGACTGTTAGGGATTGATACCAGAGGCAAGACGAATCTTGCAACCTAGCATGACAGCTCAAGAATTAACCAAACACTAAGTAACTGCCTTACTGGAACCCTCTTATAAAACTGTAATGTATCACAAATCATAAGATATCTAATAATGAAAATAGTACCACAATAATACCTCAAACTATGCTGGATTCTGGCTCTCACCTGATGCCCAACCTTCTCTTCTCTTCTAACTGAGTCTTGTACACTTTGAGGTGCTCATTCAGTTTCTCTTGGATTGCTGCTTGTCCCTCTTGCTGCTTCTCCTTAACTTTTTCTCTCATTCTCCACTCTACCACTTCTGAGGCCCGTCGCTCAGACTCCACTTCCAGCACTGTGTCACCTGCAGATGGTAGTTCTCTCCATCCAATCACCTGTTAGGAGATTTATTATTTGTAAAGAAAAACATGCTACATCCTTGGGTATTTGCCTACACTGACCTGGTGGATACTATAAATCTATTTCCAAATTTTTAAGTCTTACCCTATTTCCTTGAAAATAGTGTGTAGTAGATAGCACCCTCACCTCATATGCGATACCAACCGGGGTTCAAGCCTGGGAAGGGAGGAACAACTGGGTATTGATTCTTACTGTGCACTTCTGCATTACTTAGCCATAATTGTGAACCTGGATATTAACACTTTCCTGTTCCTGACGCAAGCGCCCAAACCCACCTCAAGGTGGGTTCGGCGATTCGTACCCGGCCCCGCGATTCCTGGGACATATATATACTCTTTCCAGTGTTCTGACATCAATTTCCGAGCTACGTCGTTCATTTTGGTATCAAATTGTTTGCAATCTATAGGCACACATTTAAAACTATTCCCATAATAATAAAATAAGAAATGGAATTTTAACAAATACTGTATTTAAATTTTTGGATGCTCATCACCACACAAGTATTTATAATCTTTCCAGTGTTCCAACATAAATTTCTTATCTACATCATTCATTTTGGTATCAAATTGTTTGCAATCTAAAGGCGCGCATTTTAAAACTAGTCCCATAATAATCGAACAATAAATAGAATTTTAACAAATATTTAAATTTTTGACACTCATCATCACAAAAGTATTCATAATCTTTCCAGTATTCTGACCTCAATTGTCGCGCTATGTTGTTCATCATGGTATCACATTGTGTGCAATCTAAAGGCACTCATTATAAAAACCAGTCCCAGAATGATCAGATAAAAATTAGAATTTTAACAAATATTTTAATTTACGACGCAATGTGTGTGATTGGTGTGCATCCGTGAGAAAAAATTTTGACGCACTATGCGTGATCACCGGGAAAGTGTTAAGTAACTGGCAGATTGTGGTTCAAGGAAAATTAATAATATGTAGCTTAAGATGAACCTTGGAAAAGCAGAGTTCTTATGTTTGCTCAAGATTCAGAAGTCATCCTGCTATAGTAATTTCCAGTTAAAAATAAAAGTATTCAGTGTAATGAAAGGCCCTTTATTTGGTGGCACCTTGGTAGCTTTCTACTCTCGGGCCTGGCAGACTCACCAGGCATATGTGACAACTTCTATCATACTGTAGCAAGTCAATTTTTCATAAATTTTTCAGATCAAAGAGTACTGGGAAAATGGGACATCACGAGTGTAGTTCTCACCCTGTAACTACATTTAGGTAATTTTAAGTAACTACTCTCTGCCCCGTGGAGAGGATTAAATCAATGTGAAATGGCACTTGTTCCCAGTGGGCATATATTTTAATAGAAGCCTGAAGTGTCTGTTGTGGCCCCATGGAGATAGTTTGTTTAGCTATGACAGCTACTGGGGTGCCACAAATTAAAGCAGAAATTTGATGCTTTATTAACATGCCAAGATACATTCTCTTTGCTATCATTATGTTGTGAAGAAGGAAATTGTGGTGAGGGAAATTTAATGATCAACTAAATTATTCACCAAAATATTTTAAGCATCCTAATATTCTAAAAAAGTCATTAGGCAGCAAACCTGAATGGGTGTGGCTGGTGGAGCAGCTTTCACTGGCTGCCCTGCATCATCAAACATATTCCGCACTTTGCACCACGCAGTGCCAGCAACTAACACTGCTCCTTTTCTTAATGTTCCTCTTTGGATCACACATGTGGCTACCTGTAAATTATACATAAGTGATAACTTTAAAGTCACAACTCATGACAGTATTTAAAATAACTAAACACATTCCTCTATTTTATTAGTATACCTAGCTTAATATGCTAGCATAACTCACAATATAAACAGAATTAAAGTATACATAAACTCTTTATCGCTCGACTGGCTCCATGGTCAAGCAGCAAATCACTGATTCTCAGCTGCAGGTTCTAGGTTCAAGTCCCGGCCAGAGCAGAAAAACATTTTTCTGTAGCATTTCCTTTCACTTCATGCCTCTGTTCACCTAGCAGTAAATATGTACCTGGGAGATCAACCCATCCTCCTGTTTAGATAGTACTGTACTTTTTGTAACTATGTGCACAATAGTACAAATATTGACCTACTAATAAATTAGATAGTAAAACTTTGTACTACTGTATTTACTTTATAGTTTGTAAAAATGAAGCCAAAAACTAACTTAAATATTCCTAGGCCTAGTATAGCCCACATATGTACTATATTAGGCCTCAGATAGTGTGTATTATGCCTAGGAAGGCTAGTTTAGTTTGTCTTTGCAACATAAGTAGAAAATCCTTTTCTGATTTTCCAAGGTGTTACTATACTACCAAAACAGGAGGATGGGCTGGGGAGGTAGACATTTTGGGGGGCTACACCCTGAGCATGGCCAGTAATTGGTCTGGTAGTTAGATATTCATACACATCTGGTCTGCCCGAAACGCTTTGCGTAATAGTGGCTTTAGGCATTGTATGTACCTGTACTAGCTCTATCTATAAATCCATCAAATTTTGTATTTCACCTTGTATGTATGTACTTTACCTGAATAAATATTTGTATTTGTATGTTGTATTTGTATTTGTATATGCAAAAACACTGCACACATGATACACACACTCTTGCTCTGTGGCAAAACCTGTGAGAGATTGACTGGGAACCAGTCCATAACTGATTGCCCAAATTTATGAGTATCAAGCTAGTTTGAGTGATTCCCTTGTTCTGCATGAATCATTTGTGGAGATATTTAGTTGTTTTGAGTCTTCATTTTCTGTGAACCCTCCAGTCATCTGAAAAGGTTCGCCGACTTTCTGGATGCTTTGCTTGTGGGATGGCAAATTGTCACTCACTCCCTATGCCTCTCTGAGGGGGTCAGGTTCTGGATCTGGTCCCCTGTAACCCAAACAGAACTTTTGTGATTGATGTGACCTTTTGGTATGGAACAATCTCAGCAAGATACCTTCAGGGAGACACCAAGGGGGGGCTCCTCCAGAAAATAATTATTAAATACAGGCTGTATAGTGTATCCCATGCTAAAATATGCAATTTTTTGTTAGCTGGTGGCCTACTTATTGTGCCTCGAGTGTACCCATCCCAACCCAGTCAAGTTCCCCCACCCATGTGTTTCTACCCCGACATAGCATAACAAAGTGGTAGTCTAAAACTGAAAAATTTTCCTTCCCAACTTTTTCCTTTAATGCAGACTTAGATCATTTAAATCCAAAAAACATATCTGATATCAGCAGCAATGAACATGGGGGAGTTAAGAGGTAGGAAGTTACTCTTGTCACGTAAGATAAGCTTAGTCATTGAACTTTATTAAAATGGCCATGCCAATGTTAGAGTTGTGAGAGAATTTAGTGTAGACACAGAAACAGATTCTAATATTAAGAAAAGAGAAATACTGTACCTGTATATGCAATACAAGAACTTGTGCAGTAATTTTAGGATTAAATTAGGTTAATGTAAACAATTCAAGGATCAAGTCCTTCAAGGATCAAGATGGCTATTAACTCCCAAATGCTCATTTGAAATTTCTGTTAATGTCATTCTACTTTATTTACTTCAATGAAGATTGGAAATATGAATTAAGCAGGTTGTATGTACAGTAGTACAAGAAATTGGTAATTTATTCAGTTTTTACACGCGTCATAAAAAATGTGGCTAATTCGAATCTCCTTATGATTTGGACTCAGGATATCTCCATATGATCTGAATTAATGAGTTTAAATAATATAATAAAATTCCTTCTGAAGATGTATTATTAAATACGAAAGTACTTAAGGAAATTCCTGTTTCAATTCTTCCTTCGTGGTCTGACACTCACATTTTTCATCACGTGTTAATTTTCGTGATTTACACACACAATATAATAAAATTATCATACATAATAATACTAATTCTTAAGCACTCTTAGGTAGAGATCTTCAACTTTGTTACCTGCTCACGTAAAAATGCATTGTTCTTAGTGGATGTTTTTCTTGTATTAAATGAACTTTAGTCTAAAACTACACTATTCCCAGAAAATTAAGAATAGGTTTTGAAGTGTCTTCTCTTGACATGTGAAGTGCATAATAAATAGACTAAACTAACCGTCCCAACACAAGTCATGGGCAATAACAACAGAGTCAGTGACTTCAAATCATTATGCTTTACAAACAGACATAATGCTTCTGTAGTGGACAAGAGATAATTAATTTGTCAAAATTATTCACTGACCTTTCCTCTTCCTGGATCAATTCGTGACTCCACAACGACAGCTTCTACCAGCCCACGAGAGTCAGCTCGCAAATTTAGAAGCTCTGCTTGAGTAGCTATTGCTTCCACAAGTAAATTTAGGTTCTGGCCTTTGAGAGCAGAAATTGCTACAGCCTGGATTTCTCCCCCATCTTCTTCCAGCTGTAACCCATTCTGAAGCAACATTTCTCGAGTCCGCACCTGGAAATCATGCACAAGATAAAGCATTGAAAATAATGAAACTTCTTTTCTGAGCTGTTCCTAAGTAATTTCCTGATGTATTGATTCTGGTATCACAGAAATATCCACAAAACTACCAAGCCTATGGACTCGTGCAGGCTTACTGAACACTAAGACTAGAATATATTGTGCTCACAGAGTTGAAGGAAGAAGAGAGATCCATCATCAATCCAAAACCAAATCAAACTGAATAGAAAGTGTCGGCGAAGCAAATTAATACATGTACTTTGATTCATAAGAGAAAAATATATAATCAAGGCGGTGGTAAAATAATGTGATTTCCCTGTGTAGTGTAAGGCAGTGATAGTTTGCCCAAAGTCAACAGTACCAATATCTGAGAAGGGCTGGTATCCAGGGTTGAACTGGCCAGAGAGGAGCCAATAGAACATTGCAGCCCACAAAGACCTCCAGTCAGACCAGCACAGAGAAAAGGAACTAGACAGGAGAAAAAGAGGTAAAGGAAGTCCCACAGATTCCAGTCTAGGTAACAAGCACCGCTACAAGTGACTCACAATTTGGAAAAGGAACAGCATAAAAAGGCAACTGATAATTCTATACCAAGAACCATCAGTTGCCTTTTTTAAAACTGCCAAAGGAACTCCCCCAACAACGTGAACAAGCTATTGAAAATTTGTGAAACTAGCGCGTGCTAGAATGCACCGCCGAGAAAACCAGAACCTGACCCCTGCGCAAACATGCAGGGAGCGACTGACAATTTGCCACCCCACTGGAACAAGTCTCCAAAAAGTCATTGAAGCTTTATAAATAACTGAAAGGTTCATGATATATGAAGCCTCAAAACCACTAAACAACTCTGCAACCTATTCATTCAGAACAAGGGATTCATTCAAACGACTGTTGTTAGAAACTTGTTAAGTACTGATTGTTTATAACAATCAGTACTTAACTTATTAATACGGAAGCCACCAGGTGGCCTAACCCCAGAAAGCTTCCCATATCAGTTCTGTTTTTTTTTTTTTTTTTTTTTTTTTTTTTTTTTTCCCAGGAATATTTTTGTGCGGGTACTAAGCCTCTGGCTAGCCCACTAAGTTTTACTTGTTTCTGTTTTACTTAGGCAGAGTATGAGTATTTATGATTGTTCTGGAGATGATGAACAACCCAACAATGAACCAACAAACTTGGAGGGAGAGGGGAATCAGAGAGCCACCGAGGTTCCTCCAGAAAGAGGTGTTTAATTACAATCAATGCTTGGTTTCATTACATTCAACACAGGTTTTCAGGACGGGGTCAGTGGTGGCTCCGTGGAGCTAACACCAGTGCAGAAGGAAAACAGGACTTAATAGTGAAAAGAGCAAAAAGACACTCAAAGACAAGATGCTGGGACAGAAAACCCAAACCAAGTGACAATTTGTCATGGCTTGGCGTGCCTTCTGACATTTGTCCTTTTGTCGTTGTTTCTCGGTTTCTGATAGGTTGTTCTACCCTTTCTTGGCTTTTCCTTGCTCAGCATCTTTTGCCATTAATGTCACCTCCTCTCTTCTTGCGGTGTTGGCAGAGCTACTCCGGCATGCATTTAGGATCATTTTCTCTTCGACCCCATTTTGCCTGCTTTCTTGCACACAGTTTTACCTCGGGCCTGCTTCTGTGTTGCCCGAGCTTGCCTGGTTCCTTGACTGGGTTCTTTTTCTTTCGCCCACTTCATTTCCGGTGGCCCCTTTGGTTCTGGTTTGTTTTGGCAAGTATTCTTTTGCATTTTCTGGCTTCTGGCTGCCAGGTGTGGGTGCTTTTTGAGCACCTTGGTGCTGGGGCTTTTGTTCTTTTGGCCCTTGCCGGCACTTCGTTAGACTGTTGCCGGCTCCTCTTTTTCTGGCTGGGAATGTGTCGGTTGACTTCCAGTGAGCTCTCTGGTGGTGGATGCTTGGGTGTTTCTGCCGGGAGTGCATTGTGTGTTGTGTCAAGTGGGAGCTTTATGCCACTGCTTTTGTGCCACCAGCTCTCTTTTAGTGGTCTCTTTGTGGTTTGCTTTGGTTACCCTGGTAAGACTTGTTTCATTGGAAACCACGTAGGGCCTGATCGTTGGAGACAGTGAATTGTCTGTGGTAGCCAGCAAGCAATTGGTAGTTGGAACAACATATCCCAGAATGGACCAGTTGTGTTAATAGAGGGAATTAGTGTCCAACTGTTCTCCAAGTTAAGGGTTGTTAGAGGTGAAGCCTTTAGAGGAAGCCAGCCAGCATTTTGCTGGAGTTTCCAAGTAGTGTTTTGACACTGTGATGATATTGTGGAGGACTGGCCCATGAATTGCTGAGAAAAGTGGACTCGCCGGCACTAGTATCTTGGAAGAAAGGTCCAGGGAAGGAACCTCGAGTGTTATATGAAGAAGGACTCCACATAATAGATGATTGCAGAAGTTCTTTTGTAGTGTCCTGTGTGAAAGTGACACATACGGTGTTATCTGTGCTGTATATACTATATTTAATAGGTGTGTATATAGTTGTATATTAGAGAGAAGTACATGTGGTAATGGTTTTGTTTAGTACAATAACACTGCTCGTGCTTTCAGTATGGTTTTGCTTGGTTTTAACTTGATCTCAGGTTTACATGCTTCTCTTCCTCTATGAGTTTTGTAGATATCTCTATGGTACCAAAGCAAAGCCGATGCACCGGGAAAATACTGAGGGCATGCCCAGAAAATTATTTAAAAAAAAAAAGCACAATTTTGCACTAAAATGTATTATTTTATAATGTGAGTATTGATGACCAAGCCACAACTCAGAAGAAGGAGAAGCAGCAACATTTCGGTCCATCCTGAACCATTATCAAGTCATTGTGATGTTAAAATACAAAAGTTCTGTATTTTTTAATATTAATCTAATAACGATGATAATAATATAAATAATTTAAAACTTACGACATCAGCTCCAGGTGCGTCAATTTTGTTGATGGCCACAACAATTGTTACTGAAAAGGAAAAGTAAGGCACCGAGTACAGCATAGTATACAAGATGTGCATTTCTGAACAAATCCTTCTCCCACTCCCTAAGGTAAAATCCTGCTGTATCCAGAGGATAGGATTATAGTCAGGCAAGATTTAACTAGCATCAGAGCCTCAGAGAACTTTTCTGTGGACTCTACTAGGGAGTCAGTTAACAACATTCAATCGAGCAAAGAATGACCAAGTTCATTCATAAACTAAAAGCCTTTCTAAATCTTCCTATGAAACCACAAGAAGCCATCAAAGCAGGTCTCTGGATAACTAACATTTGATCTGCCAGACTACCACTTTCAACCACCACCAGGCAGCAAGTATCATCCACACCTTATGCTCCTCACACCCCAACTATGTCACATACAACCTGACTCAAAAGAACAGCCTCTGAGCACCTGGAGAATATGGGCAGCAAGGTAGGAGTGGTAGCACTACAAGAATCTGATCAGAGAGGAACCTTTCATACTCAATACTTTATTTCTGATGTATCCCCCTTTTTGCTACAGTAATATGGAAAAGAAGAAAAAATAATGGAAGACTCATCTTGAGCTGTAGAGTGGTGACTATAAAAAATGTAACCTGCTAAGCACTCCATCCAAGAAAACAGAAAATGACTGAAAAGTAGAAAATGAAAATGTCTACAAGAATCCCATATAAGGGCAACTTAGTGGGAGGCAAACCTGTTCAAAGGGAGGAATAACATGGGTAGATAGTACTCTGTGAATGTGTGATTTGTTTTCTAGATGCCATGTGTCCAGATCTTGCATGACATTGCCAAAAAAGAAGGCTATATACTGTAGTTGCAAACATTAGTCATTACCATTTGGAAATCAAATGAGAAAATAATTGAAGTAGTCAAATACCTTTATATAGATTCCTTTGATCTAAAGTTCTTGATGGAAGTTCTGAGGCCAAAGTACAACCCAGAGGGAAGATTTCCTAAATGATGACTCATTTAGCAGTGAACACCTCAGATAGCAAATTAACTCCGGATGGATCGGAACATGTCATTATGTATTTTGGAGGCAAACAAAGAAGTCCTTATGACTGAACCAACAATGAGCAACTCTCACAGATTAGCATCTTGGCTATCATCTTCTAGACATGTGAACAGATTTGAAGGATGATGGTTGCCTTAGACTGACAGAACCCCTCGGTGAACAATGAGACCACTTCCTAGCTAGACTCCTAAAAACCATTTGGGAAGCTCAAGAATCCATTGCCTAAGCCCTTGAAAATACATAAAATCTTCTACCCACTACCGTGTTATTTGGTCTTTTGAAAAAAATGGCAAACAAAATGACTTGAAAGTTCAACCCTAAAGTGTCTTCCTCCAAGGGTGCGGAGCCTTTATGTTAAAAAGAGGACTGGGTAAGGCAGAAAAAGCTATCACACCTCCACTAGTAGACTGCGATGCAGAGCCTCAAATGCAACCACGTGTATTCAAGGATAAAACTTGACAAGAACCAGAGGTACCAGAAATTAGCTTAAAGGCATGAGCATATAAGAAAATATTATGAGCATGCAAAAGTACCCTCAGGGTCTCATCATCACAAAGCAATAGGACTGAAAAGGAATGGAATGTGAGAATAAAATTATCCAAGGGAACTTGAGGAACAGACTCCAATTTCTATGTCTTCAAGTGCAGTAAAAGGCTGAGAATTGAATTATGCCTCTGCATTCTGAAGCAACAGTGCAACAAAAATTGGGAAAAAAGACAGCCACAAAGACATTATCAAGTCACACGACTTGATGATAGTCCAGGACAGACCGAAACAGCGTCACTTCTCCATCTTCTGAGTTGTGATTTGGTCATCATTTCTTCAGCCACGTTATTGTGGCTCATCATCTGCATTAGATGGACTGGTTCCAAATCTGCACACAGAAGACCATATGAGACCAGAAGGCATGGCAGGATGTGTAAAATAGCCCCAATGAAGAGCAGAGGTGCAATAGGCGTGTTGTAAGAGAACTCTATCAACGTCAAAGGCCCAAGAATTTTCCACATTCTTTCCCACACATACAGGACATAACTGGCCGACCTCTTGCAGTGTTTAAGAGAGAACTTGACAAGCACCTTCAAAGGATACTTGATCAACCATGCTGAAACTCGCATGTCAGGCTGCGAGCAGCGACATCAAACGGCCTTTACTGTTTGATCCTTTACGCCAAGATCCAGAGATCCTAAAGGATCTTTTCTGGTGCTAAAAGTAAAGGATTCAGAGATCCTTTACTGCTAGAATCCACTCAGTAAAACATCTAAACTATTGGGATTGACTAAAGAGCCTAAACCTGTATTCTCTTGAGTGCAGGCGGGAGAGATACATAATAATTTACACATGGAAAATAGTAGAGAGGCTGGTCCCAAACCTGCACACAGAAATAACAGCACATGAGACCAGGAGGCATGACAGGATGTACAGAATACCCCCATTGAAGAGCAGAGGTGCAACAGGTACTCTGAGAGAGAACTCTATCAACATCAGAGGCCCGAGACTGTTCAACACGCTTCCTCTACACATAAGGGGCCTAACTGGCCGACCCCTCACAGTGTTCAAGAGAGAACTTGACAAACATCTCCAAAGGATATTTGATCAATCAGGCTGTGACTCACACGTCAGGCTGCGAGCAGCCGCGTCCAACAGCCTGGTTGATGATCGAACAGGTTGATGATCCAGGAACGAGGAGGCCTGGTTGATGATCGGGCTACGGGGTCGCTGAGCCCCGGAATCACCTCAAGGTAAGGTAACCTCATGGTAAGCCTGGTGGATCAGACCAGCAACCATGAGGCCTGGTCAGTGACCGGGCCACAGTGACTTTAACCCTCATAATCTTCAAAAGGTAGTCAACAGGTAGGACACAAGAACTTAAATAAAAATTCAGTCATTGCCAACTGACTGTACATTGGATGAGTCAGGAAGCATGTCAGGTGGCTAGGGTGAGGGACCATAAGAAGTTCATGACAGAAGCCAAGCAGGCCAACTTGGAAGTAATGTACAGGCCTCCCTTGTCAGTCACTCGTAATGTTTGGAAGGGCTGTGACTTTATGAATGAACTCCTGCAAATCATTCAGTATTAGATAGAAAGTTCTCCAATGACTCCCTGATACCGTAATGACTCTGCAGAGACAGTTAAGAAGTTCCCTATAATGACAGTGACAGTTTGCTGTTCTGTTTGACTGTCCACAACCCTCTTCTTTGGACACAATGGGACGTTAAAGAGTGGTGGAAGGAAACTGCTAAAAAAAGGTATTTTAGTAACTCTTGAATTTGCTAAAGATATGAATATTTTTTTTTAAAACTTGCTTAATCAGCATATTCATTATTTAAAAAAAATTTCAATATGCAGGCGAAGAGTCACAGTAACGTGGCTGAAGTATGTTGACCTGAAGTTGTTGACACTAGAAAATGAAGGGACGACGACGTTTCGGTCCGTCCTGGACCATTCTCAAGTCGATCACAATCGACTTGAGAATGGTCCAGGATGGCCCGAAATGTCGTCGTCCCTTCATTTTCTAGTGTGTGGATTGGTCAACAACAACTCCAATAGATAGTTGTTCAATAACATTTCTGCAATCTATGGAAATGCCTCTTATAACATATTTCTATTTAATATTTCATGAAATCTTAAAGCATACACCACTGTATCAAAATGTTTGACAACATAACAGAATTGGATAAAATAAGCAAAGCAATGAATAAATATAAGGACTCTCAAAAATCAAATGAAAGATTTTACAAAGGAATGAGGGCTTTCTGCAAGAGATACACTCAGGGCTGAACTAAAAATGAAAATCTGTAACCAAAATGGAGAATGAAACACAGAAATGCACAGGAAATACAGACTGTTTTATACCATATCAGAAGAAAACCGATTAGAAACACAGAATCTACCCATTGTTATCAATGGGTAGATTCCATCAGGCAGGGGCCAGTCCCCCCTCCCCCCAAAAAAATGTCAAGAACAGATAGCATAGCAGCCAGCACAGTTGGGTGACAACTGAATGGTACTGTACTTGGTCCTTTTCCCGTGTCAAGACAGAGATATCTGGGTACCATTTCCTTTTACTTGTTGCTTCTGTTCACCTAATACTAAATAGAGACTTGAGATTTTGGCAACTGTTGTGGGTTGCATCCTGATGAAGGTCATAAGCTGGTCTAGGGAAACCTCAATAAGCCTAAACAGGCTTCCTGTCCCCAACTATGGGAAAGCAAAACAATACACTAGAAGATAAGGAGTACTAACTGCGCCACATTCTTGACAGCAAGGGACTGGGCCCAATGAGCAGTGCATCCACAAATAACCAAGGCCAGCCAACCAGCACAAATACACTAAAAAGAATAATAATTTAATAATAATTAAGTTTAATTCATAGAGTAAAGGGTCAAGATGCAATTTGTAATTCCAACTTGATTATGATATTAATACTTAATTCTAAATTACCATTGGCTTCTACAGCATGTTGAATGGATTCCTTCGTTTGTTCCATGACCCCATCATCAGCAGCCACCACCAACACCACCACATCAGTCACCGATGCTCCCCGCGCACGCATCTCCCTGAAGGCAGCATGCCCAGGAGTGTCGAGGAAGGTTACCTCTTCGCCCGAATCAAGTTTTACTGAAAAAAATACAGAATAAATTCAACTAGAGGTTGAATTTATTGTACCAGTTAAATCTGACTTGGACATGCAACTGTCTGTAATTAGTTCCTTTATGCATTTTGTGTTGTAACAATTCAGTAGATTCTTCTTTGAACTGTAGATGATCAAGTAAATGCAGTATAGCTGCATACCTGATCAACCAGGCTGTGACTCATACGTCAGGCTGCGAGCAGCCGCGTCCAACAGCCTGGTTGATCAGTCCAGCAACCAGGAGGCCTGGTCGACGACCGGGCCGCGGGGACGCTAAGCCCCGGAAGCTCCTCAAGGTAACCACACAAACGAACCTAATATAAGGGGAGGAACACAAGGCAGACCCCCCTACCAGGCAAAAACAAATATAAAAGAAAAACCACACAAGTGGACAACGTACCCAGAGAGAACAGAGCCGGCCGCTGTCATAAGTGAAAACTAGCTACGCAGTACCCTGCACCCCACCAGTGCTATAACTACCACTTACCCCAAGGTAAACAAGGGAGTAAAACCCCCAAACCCTCGGGGCGGCCAAACGCCAAGCAGCGAAAAGCCAACAGAGGTAGACCCAAGGTGACTTGTGGAAGGCAACCCCAAGCCCCAAGGGCGGTACTTACAGGGCACTCAGGGAAGGTGACCCTAAGCACATGCAGCCCAAGTACCTGAGAATACTACTCCCAGCTCACACGACCACCATAAGAGCAACACTGCAAACAAGTCACAGCACTAAGACAAGACTGGAGCTGGAGCCACACGACCGTGCATGATCCCATCAGCCGAGAAACTGGGGCGGGGATTGCCGGCGCAGGGTTCTGGGGCTCCCCCTTCCCCCTCCCGGGGAGGGGGGAGCTGCGCAGACATGCGGCGCGACTCATGTGACGTCATGCTTGTTAGTTCGTTTTCCTGGGGGAGTTCTGTCCACTCGTTTGTCGATTTTTGTTGTTAACCAGAATAGGGGTTTGTTTTGTGGCGCTTACCTTTCTGGGTGCCTGTCCCGGTCGATGGCAGATATAGAATGCTCCAAATCACATGAGCATTTCTATGGGCCATTGCTACCTGTGCCTCTCTGAGGGGGCCAGGTTCTGGCTCGTGGTCCCCGGTAGGCCTAGAACTCCACCCACATCGACTGATGCAAAATAGTTAGGGTATCCATATCAGCCATGGATAGCTCCGGGGAGCCGTAGGGGCTCCTCCCAGAAATTTCTACAAATTTTATCATAAGTGCCACACTAAACCTCTGTGTGGAGAGGCCAGTTTCTGGCTCGTGGTCCCCAGTAGCCAATAGAACTTCGGACTGATGGGATCAAGAAATATGACACACAATCAGAGATAATAACTTCAGGGAGCCATCAGGGCTTACCCAGAAATTGGCATTTCATTACATTCAATGCTGATGTTTTTTGGGGAGGGGGGAGGGAGGGAGAAGGGGAGGGAGAAGGGGAGGGAGAAAAGGGGAGGGAGAAGGGGAGGGGGAAGGGAAGGGGGAAGGGGAGGGGGGAAGGGGAGGGGGGAAGGGGAAGGGGGAAAGGGGAGGAGGAAGGGGAGGGGGGGGGAAAAGGGAGGAGGAAGGGGGAAAGGGGAGGGAGGAAGGGGAGGGGGGAAGGGGAGGGAGAAGGGGAGGGGAGAAGGGGAGGGGGGAAGGGGAGGGGGAAGGGGAGGGGGAAGGAGAGGGGGAAGGGAAGGGGGAAGGGGAGGGGAAAGGGGAGGAGGAAGGGGAGGGGGGGGGGGAGGGGGAGGGGGAAGGAGAGGGGGAAGAGGAGGGGGAAATGGGAGGGAGAGGAAGTGGGGGAAGGAATACATTATATGGGATTATGTATCTAAATATTGCAGCAAGTTATTATTAACCTTAATCAGGTGAGGCCTTTGATTTTATTCTAACCAATTTAGTAAGAAATGGAATAAAAATTACAAACACATCTGAAAATAAAATTTATTTCATTATAATATCACCAAACTCACATGAAAAAGTCATGAAACTTCTCAATCGCCAACAAATATTTTTTTAAGGTGAATGCAAATACAGAATGTATTGCCATGCAAAATTTAGATTGAAGTTTCCAGCTTACCTGAAAATGCTCCAATATGCTGTGTGATTCCACCAAACTCGGTGTCGACAATGGCAGAATGTCTCAGGGCATCAAGCAGAGTTGTCTTGCCATGATCAACATGTCCCATTATGGTTACGACAGGAGGTCTACGAATAAGTTCACTCTCAAGTGGCGGAGGCCTGCAAAATGTTTTAAATTTAGTGTCTTGAACGTTTGGTATTCTGTCACGGGACATAAATATAGTGAAAACGCTTGCGTATCCATTAAAGAATAATACTGAATATGGGAAAATCAAGCTCTGAATGAAATGAAGTGCCATTTTCAGGTCAGCCAGAAATACCATTTTATGGGCAGCTTCAGTAGCTAACTGGTGCATGATTCTGGTACCACAAGCACACCTATAACACTACTGAGCCACCTGGTGCATGGCTCTGGTACCACAAGCACACCTATAACACTACTGAGCCACCTGGTGCATGGCTCTGGTACCACAAGCACACCTATAACACTACTGAGCCACCTGGTGCATTTCTCTGGTACCACAAGCACACCTATAACACTACTGAGCCACCTGGTGCATGGCTCTGGTACCACAAGCACACCTATAACAGTACTGAACCACCTGGTGCATGGCTCTGGTACCACAAGCACACCTATAACACTACTGAGCCACCTGGCGAAAGCAAGACAAGGTAGTGCATGCCGAACATGCTCGTAAATTGTAAAACAGACTCCTTATGCTGGACTAAGTCTTTGAAGGGAACAAATGCTGGTCCAAGCTTCTGGGAGGTAGAGAAAGTTACAGGAGCCTGTTCTGTCAGTGCTGTAAGCTCTGGAAAGTTACTGAGGGAGCCAGTACAGAAAATGTATTAATGATGGTAGGCAATTTTAAAATTATTCTTATTTAAAATCACTAGCAACTCAAATTCAGCCCATCCTCATAAAATGATAGTTCTTATAGTAGCTAATTTCTCGAAAGTATCAATATGTAGTGATGGACCACAAGAAAGTTGATGTTTATATTACTGAATTTGACCAAATGGAAAACTTTTTTTTAACTGCAACACAAATATAGAACCTAACCTCTCCTAGCAATCCTAGGCCTAATAAAGTATATATATGTGACATACTATTCCTTAGGAATGTTTAAGTTTGATTTTAGCCTTTTTTTTTTATCTGGGCTCTACAAAATGAAAGATACAAAAAGTCAACTTCTTGGTGGTCCATCACTACATATTGGTGATCTCGACCAAATACTTACTGAAAGTACAGTACTATCATTTCAGAAGGATTGGTTGTTCAAATCATACCTTCTGAAGGCATCTTTGACTTCCCTTGACTTTTCTTTCTTGTCTGGAGCACTATCAATTTTGAAACGCAGACCAGCTTTTTTAACAGCATCTTGTATGACCTTCAGATTGTCTATTGCTACTGTAGGGCTGTCATATTCTTCACTATCCTTCACATAAATAAATATTTCATATAATGTATCTGTAAAGAAAAACCATCATCAATTGTAATGAAAAGCCTCTTTCTGGTTGGGCCTCAGTGGCTCCCTGTAACTAGTTGCACTGAGATACCTCCACACAAGCTACATCAGTCCCAGGAGTCTGTAACTGCCGACCACTGAGATCCTGGTCCCTTCTCAGTGGACAGGGAGCAGGGGAAATTGTGGCGATCACCCTCACCAAGGAAACATCAAGAAATTAAGAGAAGCAAAACAGACACCCGCAAGGTTCACAGTGAAAGGAAACAAAGCAGCATAGGACTCTGCAAACTATCTACACAGTATTCACTTTGAACCCCCATAATTACAGTTACCTACTGTACCTCCAGGTTGCAGCACTCTGGGAGTTACCAGCTCTTCATGTCAACATTTTGCAGTCCAAAGCCTAGGACAACAAACTGATGCACATTTTAGGCCAAAGGAGTAACAGGGAGCCAAAGAAGCCCAACCAGAAAGAAACATCTCATTAAATTCACTGCAATTTTTCTGGAGAGGGTCAAACAGTAGCTCCCTGTAGCTCATTAAATACAGAAAATAAGAAGAAATACAGCTGGGTGGACAGCGCTTTGGATTCGTAGTCCTGAGGTTCAGGGTTTGATCCCCAGTGGAAGCGGAGACAAATGGGCAAAATGTTTCTTTCACCCTGATGCCCCTGTTACCTAGCATTAAATAGGTACCTGGAAGTTAGACAGCTGCTACGGGCTGCTTCCTGGGGGGTAAGTAACAAAAAGGAGGCCTGGTCGAGGACTGGGCCGCGGGGACGCTAAGCCCCAAAATCATCTCAAGATAACTTCAAGATAGAGAAATAGAAGGCTCCGAATCCATGGTGGGAAGGGTAGACTCAACTGTCATTGCTGTTGACATGGAAAGGGCAAAACCTGGTGGAGGCTGAGCTACACCCAGTTAAACCTAGCCAAGACTATGAAAATGAAACCCTTAGATGTTTTAGAGCCCAGAGCAGGGTGAGAGTGGAAAAAAAGAGAGGCCTGGTGAACCATACCAGATGGAACTGGGTGAGGAGGATTCGTAAACTTTGAACAGGTGAAGTTCACATGCAGCTCCAATGCCAAATCCCTAAACACTAAATGGGGCCAACTCCAGAGCATCAGCATAACACCAAGCTGCAAACAATGAATATTGGGGAATTGCTCCCATCAAGCAGTTGCTACCTGGAAAGCCTCTTGTCTAGAAGGAGGTTTTCTATAAATGAGACCCAATGAACACAAACATCACAGGCCTTAGGGTAGAAGGAAGCAATTGCAGAGATAGAAAGAATGCCCATCGATATGTAGCAATGTTAATGAACATTCCTTATTAAAGGACACCCAGGCACTAGGGCTGCTCACAGAAAGTACTGATACCGAATGCAGACTCAAGCATAAACATGGCAATGTAGGGCATGAGTGTATTGTATGGACAAGCACATGAACACTTAGGTACACTTAGGTAATTACTAGTACATCCCCCTTTATCAATAAGACCTCAGTACATCCCTAACTTCAGAGCCTTGCAGAAGAGTCAAAGAACCTTGCATTACTTACAGCGAGACACCCTACACAGTAGGCCGGCCTATACGGGATGAACTCCTGATCCTACCAGAGAATGTACTCTGTCAGAGTATTGGTATCACTAAGTGAGCACCTAAGAAAGGACTGACATAAGCTTATGCATCTCGAAGTTAACCCTAAATCATGGAATCACAAACAGGTAAATGGGGGCTCCCCACAGAACAAAATCTAAAGGACTGAAGAATGTTGACATGAAGAGCTAGCAGCTCCTGAAGTGTTGCCACCTGGCAGTGGTTATCTCTAACTAGGGTATTTCAAACCGACTACTGTGTGGATTATTTGCCACTTCATTTCTATTCTCTGTTCAAAGAGAAAAGAAACTCTTTTTCTTTTGCAGTTGTCTGTTTTGCTTTGCATACTTTCTGGAGATTTTCCTTAATGAGGGTGATCATAACAATTCCCTGCTTCCTGCACCTCTGTGAGGAGGGAGGGGGGGGGGGAATCAGTTTTTGGCTCTGGTTCCTGGTAGACTATTACAGATTCCTACAACTGATGTGATACATATATGGAGCGCCATCTCAATCTTGGGGAATCACCATTCAGCACCTCCAGACAACAATACAGTAATTATATACAGTAATTTTCAATATTAAAATATAGTAATGTTAAAAACAGAGAATCACATCACAGGGATTAAAAAAACAGCGTTGAATGTAATGAAACGCCATTTTCTGGGTGAGCCTCGGAGGTTCCCTGGAGCTATCGAGCTAATATGTTTACCCTGGTCTAATATGAGCATTAGACCAGGGTATTAATCTATGGAGTTCAGCCTAGCGGGGACCACAAGCCAGAACCTGACTTCCCACCACTCAGAGAGTTGCAAAGAGCAATGGGCCTGGATTTTCCCCCTGTGGTTGGGGATTTTTCTTATCTGCCATCGACTGGGGTTAGACACCCAGAAAGGTAGGCATAACAAAACAAACCCCACATGGTAAGAAAATTACAACTAAAAACTGAAAAGAGAGGCAGAACTCCCTCCAGTCCCAAGGTACCCACAAAGGTAGGCATAACAAAACAAACCCCACATGGTGAGAAAATTACAACTAAAAACCGAAAAGAGAACCAGAACTCCCTCCAATCCCTTTTTTTTTTTCCTCAGTGAACCCTGCAGTTCTCTCTCTTGCTTTGCTTTGTTCTATGTTTTTCTTTGGTGAGGGTGATTGTAAGAATACCCTATTCCCTGCTCCTCTGTGAGAGGGGGGCCAGGTTTAGCCTCTGATCTCTGGTAGGCAATTGAGGACTCATGGGGCTGATATGAATCATTTGCATGCAGGGTGACTAGCTACAGGAAACCATAGAGGATCACTCAGAAAAAGGCATTTCTTTATATTCAATGCTGTTTTTTAGTTGGGGAACACAGATAAGCACTCCAGTTGCATCCATTAATATGTTTTGGAGGTCAGGAGTACATTCATTCTTGGGTATGTGACATTTTCAGCCTTGGGTTTGTTTTGGCTGAGCCATCTTCTCAAGCAATAGCTTAACAGGCTGCGTTCATGATGCGAGACTGCACTTTGTAGTTCTGGCTTCTAAGGCCCCTGGCTGAACCAAGTGGCTCTGCTGATGAACTCCCATTGTTTTATAAGGCCTCCTTTGCTGTGTCTGCTTCAACTACTGGAGCAGCTGCTTTAACCAACCTAGTTATCTTACCCAGGAGTACAATCTAGAAATCCACTGGACACAACCTGTGATATCCAATCACAACTCTCAAATCACTGGAAAATGGAAGGCTAGAACCATAGCACATGCATTGTACCCAAGGTACAATATCTTATATGGGAATACCTAACTAAGGAAGCAAAAGCACTTATACTAACCTAGATCTTTTCCCATTGCATCAGCAAGCTCTTGGACAGTCATGTTCTTCCAAACACTGATGACAGGAGCTTTTTGCTTCATGCCCTTAGGATTCACATGAACAGCATTCTGAAACAGATCAAAGAATATTTGCAAACTACAATTTTTACCCTTGTATTATACAGATAAGTCTTAAAGTTTAATGAATGTGTCTCATTGTTAAAAAATGTTTGTACCTATTACCCATCCTTACAAAATTTAATGTAAAATCAATTCAAATGTTAACCATTAAAAGGGAGTGTCCATCATTGTTAAGCAGTACGTACAACCAGCATGAAACCCAAACCAGCCACTAAAACTTGGCTTGATACACGCACAGCAATAAACATCCTGGAGATCCAAAGACGTGACTCAAAAAAAACTGTCTCAAAACCATCTGATGAAGCCCCTAAAGGTGACAGTGACACGTGTGCTTCTCAAAATTATGCATTACTCTCTTATAGAGTACTATGTCAGAGGCTTTTTAACAATTAAAAAATATGAAGTCTGCCCACCCTTCTCAGTCTAGTCTAGTTTTTATCATTTGTACAGAGAATTCTATTAATCTTGTAAGGCAAGATTTACTGCCTTTGAACCTTTGTTGGTGTGTTACAAAGTCCCTTCTCTTCAGCTGTGCTACTAGCCACTTTCTCACTCTCCTCCATCATCATGTATAGTATGAGAGTTAGACACACTGGCCTGTAGTTTAGTGCCTCTCTGCCGCCCTCAACCGTTTCCGAGTTTTGTTTAGTAGTGTATATTGTTCAGTAACTAACTACTGTACAGTGCTGGTACCAAACATTCTTGTAGGAAGAATCGATTATTCATGTTAAGCAAAGAGGACTACTGTAGTAACACTCAGAAAGGAAAGATTCATTACAGTCACATTGCATTTTGGTTCAGTAATAAACTGTGTTCATATTACATGAATGCAGTAGTAAATCCCCAAATTTGTGTTTAAAGTTTTCCAGGTAGGCCTACTGTAACACAAAAATATAAACATTAGCAAATGCAAATACTATACCTTTCCATCTCTTCCTTTTCTTTTCTTGTGTAAAGTTGATGCAATGTGCAACAGAGATGGCTGGGTATATCCACATAGCTGACAAGGAACCAGTCGAGCACTACTGTGATGAGTCCCCTCCCGCACTAACGTAGACACATTACCAAGTCCCACAGGCGATAAATGCTGAATACTTCCTTGAAGCCATCTTCTCAAATTTAAACTTCTGCTGTAAATACACAAACAAAATTGGCTCAAAGTGAAGACTAACCAAAAATTCATTTGGGTAATCATGTTGAGAATGTACTTAATGACTTTACAATATCCAAAGTATTATCTTTTGTGTCACTTTCTATAAAATGTAATATTATTATTATTATTATTATTATTAATAAAACAATGATTATAGATTCGCTGCCAAGAATAACACGATAGTCTTGTACTGATGTTTTATCATACAAGCAATTGTAGATCCAAATATTGAATGCATAAAATATTTTAAAGTTCAAAATATTTACCTCAAATCTAGGCTACATCAGCATTAAATAATTTTATCTTGTACAGTACTTTGTTCTTTGACAAAATTTGTATAAAAATATCAAGCATCGAATGTAATAAAATTAGTTTCTGGTCATATATATACTTGAACCTACATTCTCATTAATGCAGCTGCCACTATTCACTGAAAACAAAATTGAACCACCATCCTCTGGGGTAACTACTTCACTAATGATGGACGAGGAAGGATTTTACCCTTTATGTCCAATACAGTAACATCCATAAACATTTCAACTACTGTACATGATTGTTTTCTAGTACAGAAAATAATAAGCAACAACATTAATTTAATAAATATAAAAATCTTAAATATAAGAAATAGCCTAAGGAAGCAGGCTGCCTATATAGCACTGACAAATAAGGTGAAATAAATGGTTTATGAAAGGTAAATAAGGGTTTATAAAATGGTCCCAGTAGTACAGTCGGGTTAGTTCTAGACTCACAAACGAGATTTCCGGGTTTGAATCCCAGGCGGGACAGAAATGGTTGGGTACATTTCGTATCGCCCCTGTTCACCTAGCAGTAAGAAGGTACTTACAAGTTAGTCAGTTTGTTGTGGGGTTCCATCCTGGCTGGGGTCAGTAATTTGGCCGATGGGGGGGGGGGGGGGGAGGAGACCTCAATATAAGCCTAACATTTATAAATACACTCTGGCTGCCTGTCCCCCCAGCACAATGAATTATTATTAAATTGTGTAATATGTATATTTTTGGCTTTATCTTCACACAAACAGACGACCTCAATAACTTTCAACCTTTGCCAAATTATGACCCTTGATGCGCCCCATCTTCCAACATTACCACTCGTGAAGTCATCGGGAGGAAATACCTTCATGTAAACTGCACGTATCGCGAAGTAATGGAAACTGGGCATAAAAATCATTACCTTAACATAGTGCAGGTGTAATATTCTCTGCAAGTTAGATATTTTTCCTCTTTATAACGTATAGTGTGCCTTAAGATTTCGTGCGATTTCGAAGGATATCAGACACTGGACGTTAGCATGAACCAAATAAATCTTTCTCCTGCCTTCCCTGTAATACGTTTATAGAGGGTGGTTTGTGTGAAGGTTATAAAGAACAAGCCCACGACGGCGGCGGCTGGTTGTTGTTATGACGGTGATGGCGGTCGCTTGCGCCGCCTCGCAGCCTTTCCGTTTTCTTTCTCCAATTGGTAAGCTTGGGTGATGGGAGTGAATAGCGAGTTATCATGGGAAAGCGCCCAGATTATGATTTATTTCTATATATATTTATATATAAAAGTGGTCTTACATTCTTGTACAGCCACTAGTACGCGTAGCGTTTCGGGCAAGTCCTTAATCCTATGTTGCCTGGAATACGACCCTCGCGAAGAATCGTTTAACAACCAAGTACCCATTCTAGTTAAACAGAGGCTACAGTTAATGATTGATGCCCAGTAAATCCTCCCCGGCCAGGATACGAACCCAGGACAAAGCGCTCGCGAAACGCCACTACACCACGAAGACTGCATTTACTATTTGTATCTGCTGACCTGATCTATTAGCTCTTGGACCCCGCCTTTCTAACCAATTTATTTTTCCTATATTATGTCTACTACATATAATTCTAACCAATTTATGTTTTCTATATTATTACTACTACACATATTTGTCTTTAACACACGCACACATCCCCGGGAAGCAGCCTGTAACTCCCAGGTGAACTAGTGCATTAAGGTGAAGAAACTCTGCCCATTTGCTTCTGCTGGGAATCCAACCCGGACCCTTAGGACTACGACCCCAGAGCTCTGTCCACTCATAAGGAATAAGGAAGTATCTAAACAACAGGAAACAACGAGTAACTGTGAAGGGGGAAGACATCAACGTGGCGAGATGTCACCAGTGGTGTCCCACAGGGCTCTGTACTTGGACCCATCCTGTTTCTATGTAAACGATCTTCCAGAGGGTGTGGACTCATTTCACTCAATGTTTATTGATGATGCAAAAATTGCGAAAATAATCAAGACCTGAAGATAAGACAGACTACAGGACGACCTAGACAAACTGGAGGAATGGTCTAGAAAATGGTTACTAAAGTTTAACTCAGGAAAGTATAAAGTAATGAAATTAGGCGAAGAGAGCGGGAGACTGAACACAAGTACCATCTGGGAGAGAAAATCCTGTAAGAGTCAAATAGAGAAAAATCTGGGGGTTATCACACCAAACCTGTCCCCAGAGACCCCACATCAAAAGGATATCATCGGCATTTGCTACATTGACCAACATAAGAACTGCCCTTAGAAACTTGTGTAAGGAATAGTTCAGGACATTGTATATCACTTGTGTCAGACCAATCCTGGAGTATGCAGCTCTAACCTGGAGTCCATACCTAGTTAAACACAAGACAAAGAAGATTCAGAGGTATGCCACTAGACTAGTCCTAGAAGCGAGAGGTATGAGCTACGAGGAAAAACTACGGGAGCTAAACCTCACGTACCTGGAAGACAGAAGAAAAAGGGAAGACATAATAACCACCTACAAAATTCTCAGGAAAATTGGCAGGGTGGACAAAGACGAACTATTTAGCATGGGTGGAACACGAACAAGGAGACACAGATGGAAATCTTTCAGTGTCAGTAGTTAACAAATGGAATGCATTAGAAAGTGGTGTGCTGGAGGCAGATGCCATACAGTTTCAACTGTACAGTTTTCAACTGTATTTGATACAGCCTGATAGGCTTTGTAATCTGAACACCAGTTGATTGATAGTTGGGATAAGGATTTGGGATTGGAAACGGGTAAGCAATGGCGCCCAACCACTTGGATGATCCGGGATTGAACGCCGACCTGCATGAAACCATCGCTTGCCAGAGCCAAGCCAGTGTAGACAGGGTACCTCACTTCCAGTGATGTTTTCCCCAACGTAATACTAACGACATTGATTCGAACAAAGGCAAAAGGTATCCCTCCCCCCCTGTAACAATGGCTGTCCTCAGCACGGACATGCATATCCACCCTTATCTGTAGTCTCACACAGGCTGGTAATACCAGCCTCGGTGGCTGGTAAACGGATCGGTGACTAAAATGCAAATCCTAGGTCTGCAAGCCCCCCCTTTTTTATGTCAGCCCAACAAGCTAGAGATGGAAACACAAACCTTTTGTCTTGTCAATTAAATTGGTACCCATTTAAGGTGGTTCCCAGGAAAAGATGGAGGGAAAGTGGGAGGGGTGTCAGGTTCAGGAAGTGAGCCTTCTACCCCAGGTCCAGGAAGTAGTTATAAGGAGGCATGAAGCCAGGTAGACTATGTAGCACCATTAGTGTCACAAAAGACACTAAATATCAGAGGATGCCACTCCAAGAACAAAAAGCACACAAGGCAAGTCACATCAATTTGTAGTAATATGCCGATGCCTCCCAACACCTCAAACCAATTCTATTTGCTGACGACACAACCTTCATTTACTCCAGTCCTGACCCCCTTGCTCTAAATGCCACAGTAAATACCGAGCTAAATAAAGTCCATCTTTGGCTAACTGCCAACAAACTCACCCTTAACATTGACAAAACTTTCTATATTGTTTGGCAATAAATCCTCTAATCAAATAAATCTCAAAATAAACAATAACCAAATTTGTAACAAATTAGATGGTAAGTTCCTTGGCGTTCTCATTGACCCAAGCTGAATTTCCAGGGACACATTCTAAATATATCAAAAAAAGTTTCAAAAACTGTTGGCATGCTTTCTAAGATCAGATATTATGTACCACGCCCTGCCCTGGTTACTCTCTATTACTCCCTCATCTATCCATATCTCAACTATGGTATATGTGCTTGGGGTTCTACTACCCAAAATCATTTACGTCCTCTAATTACTCAACACAAAGCTGCTATTAGGACAATATCCAACTCTGGCCCCAGACATCACTCGGTACCCCTACTCAAATCTCTGAATATGTTAGATATTAATAAGTCACTGCACATTCTCTCATGTGTATTATACATATATAAAATGCTGAACTGTAATGCCAATCCTGACCTCAAAAGCTTCATTGAAGGTTGTAACAGAACCCATGAGCACCACACCAGAAATAAATAGTTTTGATATTCCAAGAGTACGACTTAAACTAGAAATGCTCTACAAATCAAGGGACCCAGAATGTGGAATGACCTTCCCAACCATGGTAAAGACTGTACCTCTCTCAACCAGTTTAAGATAAAAACGAAGCACTACCTAATAAATTCCCTGTAACCTACCTTACCCCTCTATTGTCAACCCGTCTTTTTTTTTTTTTTTTTAAACAACGCTGTTTGTCGACCTAATTGTATTTATGCTGCTTTTTCAGCCATGTTCCCCCCTTTTTTTTATCTATTTTTATTTGTTCTCAACACATTTTATTCTTTATACTCAATTAGTCATTAATGTTTTTTATGCCCGAAACGCTTTGCGTAATAGTGGCTTTAGGCATTGCTCTATCTATAAATCCATCAATCTTTGTAAAATCTCTTGTATATATGTACCTTACCTAAATAAACATTTATTTATTTATTTATTTATTATCAAAGGTATCTATTTCATTAAGGTTTCTATCGGGAACATTAGAAAAAGCTAGACACATGAACATCCTCAAAATTGGAACATTCTGCAAGGAGGTGCAAAATTGCAAGAGGAATGATGCAATTCAGACAAGGAGCAGGTCAGTGTGCCGTTAAGTGCCTATGAGTTTAGAATGTACGACCAATATGTAACCTAGCCAGAGCCATGTCCCTCTGCTGGTTGTGGTGGTAGGAGGAACACCAAGGAGAGGGCTTTCAGAGTTCAGTTTGTTATCGTTAACACGACTAACACTCCTGTCATTAGTCTCAGAATGAGGAATGGCATTTTTCAGAAAGTATACCTAGCACTTAAGCCTCCCTGTATCACTTCTTCCTACAAGCTGAGCACCTTGTGAAAAACAAAGAAATAAATGTGAGAAAAAGAATGTGTGTGACTATATAGCACACCCAATTGATTCAGCCAGGCCACAATGAACCTCCTATTTTACTCCTGTACTAAGAAGAGTATTGCTCTACCCAGGTGCCACAGCTTCATGGAAGACTGCATTTTTTTTTTTTTTTTTTGAGATATATACAAGAGTTGTTACATTCTTGTACAGCCACTAGTACGCGTAGCGTTTCGGGCAAGTCCTTAATCCTATGGTCCCTGGAATACGATCCCCTGCCGCGAAGAATCGTTTTTTCATCCAAGTACACATTTTACTGTTGCGTTAAACAGAGGCTACAGTTAAGGAATTGCGCCCAGTAAATCCTCCCCGGCCAGGATACGAACCCACGACATAGCGCTCGCGGAACGCCAGGCGAGTGTCTTACCACTACACCACGGAGACTGCTTATCATTCTCAGATAAGGACAAATAATAAACACACAGGTTCATGTACAGCAAATGCAAAGGGTGGGATACCACCAGTTGTCTCACTACTCACCTTATGCAAACATGAGTAGCTTCACAAGTCACTACCAACTGCAATTTGGATCACTGAAGCACTTTAGCCCCTCAACAGGCCATAAAGGGGTATATAGATAGATGGTAAATGATTGTATTTAACATCAAACTTCTATTTTCTTTAACAAATACAAACAAATACTAGTCAAATGTACTGTACCACTATTGCTCATCGAATACAAATAACTTGCACTTTATCAAAACTGCCAACTGCCTGTAAGAGTTTTTGATTGTAAATCAAACAAATTTATGCCAGAGGAAAGAGCATTGAGAGGGAATAACTGACACACATAGGAAACTTTCTTTTATTACAAAATTATGAGCAAATCCATAATGGCCTCAATCTAAGCAATGAACTTACAAAACATACAAATATATTAAAAAAGTAAAGCATTTCAAAAAATTGAAATACTATACATTAAATGTACATTCCTGAAGAAATCATCTCTAGTACATCCAACATTTAACTAAATACTGCTCGTATCCCACCAGTCTGGTCATTACCTGGCTCCAATTCCTATACCTATAGTTACTGGACTCTTGGTAATGCAATTGAACCGTAAATGGCTTTGGAAACTGCTTGAAAGAAGGCTGCATTGAGAATTCAGATAAAGTAAGCTTGTGTCGATTGATTGTGGGGACTAGAGAATTAATTACGAAAATTTATCCTTTGCATTTGCTCAAAAGACTCATTGCTAAAAAGACGTTTATCTTGCACTACACCTATCTGGAAACTAAAAACACCATGGTTATAGTGTACTTCAGAACAACTATCTCTAGCGTTATTATGCATACCAGAAGAACTCTTTGCAGACCTCATTATATCAAGATATGATCTCTGATGCAACTTCAAATTTCTCAAGAGCCAGGAATGACCAGTAACTTGGTTTAATTTTAAAATAAAGAGAATCTTACATTATTGTATAAAAATGTTATCAACTAAAATGATGAGAACAGGTTTTCAAGTTCAAATATTTTATTGAGGTTATATAATGGCTAGGACACAATTATATATTAATCAATGCTTTATCTTTCTCAAAGAATGCAATTTTTCATTCATTCATGATGGCGTGGAATCATAAAAATATATTAATTCTGGTAAACAATTACAATTAATCCTATCAAGCAGACTTCCACTGCAAAGACAAAGTAATTATTGCGAATAGCAGTTATATGAAATACATTCAACTTGGTAATGGGGACATGGAGGGATCAGCCCAGTTAACGAATGGCGTGTAATAAAAATACCATTCCAAGTGAAGCCGAACGTTGTCTCGGAAAAAATTCTATCTTTTGGCCTCCTCTCTAATCATGCACATCATTTTTGACACTAAGGCAGGGTGACACTTGCGGTATCCTTCCAACACTACATATTTTCATATTCATCTGCTCAATTTCAGTGTTCATGACACATGAGCACTACTTCAAACACCTACTCAAGAAATGAATTACTTCTTTCACTGCAAATCTGCTATTTTTGATCAGCTATTCCAATGCAATGTGTTTGTAGCAAAACAAGTACAGCTCTAAATTTATTAATCTTACAACTTTAGTCTAAATATATAAATTTCTTCTTGATTGGTGCTGTCAAAAATACAAGTAACATTTCTTATGTGACTTACGCTCAAATAAATTAAGAAAATATTGAAAATATCTGTAAGAGAATCCCTTGGAGATCATCAATAAATCTAATCGCTAGGGCATTAAATGTTAAAACCATAAAGACAATTATTTTCGACACGCTACGAGAGTATTGTAATCTAGAAATTAAATTAAATGAGACCAATAAGTATTGTATTGAGTAAGAAAATAAATTGGTTATGGACACCCTGAGTGGTTGTATGTAATAGTATCACACAATGAAGTACTAATGCATTTATTATATTTCATTAATGTGTATGTATATTATTATATATATATATATATATATATATATATATATATATATATATATATATATATATATATATATATATATATATATATATATACATTTATGTATATATACCTATATATATATATATATATATATATATATATATATATATATATATATATATATATATATATATATATATATATATATATACACACATTTATGTACATACACACATACACCTAGTAGCCATACATACTCAGCCACTACAACACACACACACATTAAGTACATTCACAAATGATAAAGCTACATTCATTATGTATGACATTTATTATTATTGGAGTAAAATTTAGATATATACCTAACCAATACCTAACCTAACCTATATATAGGTTAGGTTAGGTAGCCGAAAAATATATATATATATATATATATATATTATCGGGCCTTGCATATATATATATATATATATATATATATATATATATATATATATATATATATATATATATATATATATATATTATGCATGCATGCTAGGAGGGGTACCTGGCAGTGCTTGGGATAGTCTCTCCCCCTCCCCACATTCCCATTCCACTTTTTACCCCCTCACACATTCTCTCCCTCTTTTCCCTTTACCACCACCACCACCTCTTCCTACTATCGCCCAACCACTTGGAGTGGACGGTAGAGCGCCGGTCTCGCTTCATGCAGGTTGGCGTTCAATTCCTGACCGTCCAAGTGGTTGGGCACCATTCCTTCCCCCCTTCCAAGTGTTATATAGTTGTCATTGCTTGGAACTTTCTCCTGATAATTCATTCCCTTCCACCCCATCTCCCTGCCATCCCCCTCCCTCCAACTTCGAACAAACATTTCCAGTTATACATAAAGTAAATGAGTGAGTAAACTGTGGGAGTGAGAGAGAGGGTGTGTATGTATAATACAGTATATTATATATATATATATATATATATATATATATATATATATATATATATATATATATATATATATATATATATATATATATATATATATATATATATAATTATACTGTACACGCAAAAATCACAAACTTTAGAAAAAATGTTCTATCTTATATCACAGTTTAATACCTGGATATCCAGAAACTCCTCAAAATATTTGGCAGTTATGTCATTATAGCTAAACAATGACACCCACACCATAATTGAAACATATGATCCTGCAACAGCAGCTCTTCATCAAACACTTCAACACACATCCCGAGGAGAAAGTGAATAATCAGAAGAAATTTGTAACATTTCTGGCTTGCAAATAATACATGAAGACTACATATCTCCTAATACTATATGAAGTCTCTCATTAGGGTATTTGCTTTTCTCACTCTACCCCGACTGCTGATGTCAACATCATTGTCTTCCTCTTCATCATCATCATCATCATCATCATCATCATCATCATCATCATCATCATCATCCTCCTCTCCTCCCTCATCTTCATCACTGTACCTCATTCTTTTCTGAAAGATTTTCTGGGATGTGTTTTCAGAATCTGAATCACTGTTAATTGTGCGCTTTAAGTTAGTTAAATTTTTAATAGCTGTACCTTTGCCTTTACTAAGCGTCAGAGGCGGCACTTCATACTCGTCACTTTCCTCATCTGAATCAGATACATCTTCACTATCATCATCATCATCATCATAATTTGAAGTGATCACTCTCCCAACAACCCGTCCTTTGTGTTTTACCTCATTTACAATAACGTTTTTGGATGTAAAATGTATTGGTTGATAAGGTATGGGTGCTTGGCCAGGCCTGTTGACTGTAATGATCTCCTGCACTTTGTGCTTCACTGGGCTGTGCTTCACTGGGCTGTGCTTCACTGCACTTTGCTTAACTGGACTTTGCTTCTTGGCCACTGTGGTTGCTTTGCGCTTCACTGGGGTTTGTTTCTTGGTTACGGCCATTCCCTTCTTCACTGGCGTCTTTTTCTTTTGGGTGACCTTTTTCTTCTTTGTGGTTTTAGCTTTACTTTTAACAGTTTTTCTCTTTTTCCCAGTTTTAGGTTTAGGTTTCAGTTGTTTTTTCTTTTTCTTCTTTTTCTTCTTCTTTGGCTTCTTATCATCATCACTTCCTTCATCACTTTCAGATTCAGAACTTGATTCCTCTTCTGAAAGATCTGCATCATCAATGAAGTCCTTATCAGCTATAAAATCAGTGTCATCCTCATCATCGCCATCAAGAATAATCTTCCTTGCTCGCCTTACACCTGACGCTACACCTCTTTTCCGACCCCTTTTAGTAGTTGCCTCTTCCTCCATACTCTCCTCGCTGCTCGATTCTAGGTCCTCGTCATCAAATTCCACCTCACTCTCATCTTTGGTTCGTTTGCCGTAACCTGCTTTGCTGTTTGGTGTATTTGGTGGCCGACCTACACGTTTGGCGACTATTTTTTTATTTTTACTCGAATCACTACTACTGCCACTACCACTATCACTAGAGGATCGTTTTCTTTTACCCCTATTTGGTTTTTTAATTGATTTTTGTTGATCACTGTCACCATCAGATGCACTGTTAGAATCACTGCTTTTGTCACTTTCATCACTTAAATTTAGCTTTTTCGCTTTGCCAATATTTTTTCTTTTTGCCATAGCACCCATTTTCTTCTGTGCTAAACCATTCACACCATTAGATTTCTTTCTAGATTTCTCATCTAATTCATCCTCACTGGAGCTCTTGAGTCTACTTTTAATACCATACAATTGACCATTAGTTCTCTTAACACTCGGTCCTGCAGTATTTACACTGCTGCTGTCACTCCCACTATCACTTCCACTGGTTACCACATTTTTCTTTTTTAATTTTACCATATTTGCAATTTTAACTTTTGAAGTCAACTCTTCATCTTCACTTTCTTCATTGTACTGCACTGTAACTCGGCCCCTGTTTCTTGTTGCTACACCTTTTTTCTTGGCCTTTGGCACAGTCTTAGGTTTATTTCTGGGATTATATTCTTCACCCGAGTCATCATCCTCCTCTTCACCACAAACACCTTTCTTGCGAGCAACCCTTCTAGATCGTCTCCCAGTGTCCTTACCAGATGCCTGTCTGAAGTTCATATCTCTATCATCATCAGAACTATCACCATCTAGATTCGTAATATCTTCATAAGTAGCAGATACAGAGTAATGTGCCTGATGTGGGGCTACAACCGGTCGCCCAAAGGATGTTAATGATGTATTTTTCCTTAGCTCACTGCTGGCTTTAGAGGGCACATCTGGAAACATACAAATATTTTAATAATGTATGTGGGCATAGTTAAATTAGCAGCAAGGAGAAATTTAAAAACACGATACTATTATATGACTTACAAGCTTATACGTCTACATTTAACGTGGCAACTACAATATTAATTAAGAGCATGGAGATCAAAATTAGCAATTTGAAGAAACTGACATTGTTAAATATGCATGTGTGGAAACCACTAGCAAAGCTTAAAACACCTTTTCAACACCATAAATACAAATTTATTGCCATGTTGGCCAATCATTATAATATGGAAAAGTAATCTTACAACCCTTAAAATTACAGGCATCATTTAAAACAAACTCATGGTACTCTCAAAATCCATAGGACTGGCATGCATAAAAGCAATATTTTCTTTATACAAGCTGTGACCTTTGAGAACTATTCATACTGAAATAAATATGCTTATCATGGTAGCTTTTCTAACACTTCAATTTGCCACTATTACCACTGCACCATGTTCCACTATCATCGAAACAACCAGTGAAAACAAGATGGAACAACCGAGCAAATATTAGTCAGTGTCACAATGATGTTTACCTAAAGGATTAGGTAAACTTCAAGATGTAAATGGTGATTAGAATAAATGATAGAGTCATAAATAATTATCGAGATAAAGTGATAAGCTAGATGACTATACAATATAGCACTTTAATGAGAAATTTAGTAACAAATGTTTAAATATTCAGGCTTCCAATTTAGGAGTAAGGCAAATTTATCTGGACAAACACTGTGAAAATCTGGGCATTTTAGCAAAAGATGCATGAATGTTAGCTGGACAACACAATTGGAACAATAAGGGGGGCAGGTGTTGGCTCCACGTGACATCTTGTGTGGCTGATACACAAGTGGGTTATAATGAGAGGCTTCAATAATTAAATTTCACTAGAACAAGAGAAACGTGTAAATTTACATTTATTTTATTTTCATCCTATGTGGTATGAGAATATTTTTAGAAACTTCAGGACTTTGGTGCAATCAAGAAATGTATTGGTCATGAGATACCCAAGCTAAATAAGTACTGTATATATACATATTTATAAACCTAAATCTTATAACTGCACGTAGCACACATTTTCCCCGTAAATATATATATATATGGTAATCATTCATTTGTTGCTGTTAAAAAAGATGAAGGGAGAGTTGCCCAGATGCTGGAAGAAGGCAGATGTGGTACAAATTTTTAAGAAAGGAGATAAGGAAGAGGCACTTAACTACAGACCTGTATCACTGACAAGCATTCCCTGCAAAGAAGTTGAAAGATCAAGTTAAGACTGGTTACACACCTAGAGAACATTAGGCTTGAAAACAAACACCAACATGGGTTTAGGGAAGGTAAATCATGCCTAACCTTCTCGAATTCTATGACACAGTAACAAGAATATGGCAGGACAGCGAAGGGCAGACTGCACATTTCTGGACTGCCAAAAAACTTTTGATACAGTGCCACACAGGAGACTGCTGTTCAAACTTGAGAGACAGGTGGGAGTAAGCGAAAAAGCCCTAGCACGGGTAAGGAGCTACCTAAAAGCAAGGAGCCAGAGAGTAACAGTAAGTGGTGAGAAGTTGGACTGGTAAACTGTAATGAGTTGAGTACCTTAAGGATCGGTGCTGGGACCAGTTCTATTTTTAATATACGTAAAGGACTTGTCCATAGGAGTACAGTCCTATATGTCAATGTTCGTGGATGACGCAAAATTAATGAGAAGAGTTGTGGCAGATTGGGATTGTAGGATCTTCCAAGAAGACTAACAGGTTGTGCAGAGATGGTCAAGAGAAATTGCTACTGGAATTCAACACGAGCAATTGTAAAATTATGGAAATGGGATTAGGTGACAGGAGACCAAAAGGGACAGTACACAATGAAGGGAAACTATTGTACCTACCTGTGACTATTCGAGAGAGAGACCTGGAAGTGGCTGTAACATGTAATCTAACTATTGAGGCACACACAAATAGGTTAATGACAGAGGTGTACTCTCTGCTGGCAAAAGTTAGAACATCATTCAGAAACCCAAGTAAGGAGGCATTTAGGGTGCCTTACACTGCCTATGACAGACCAGTCTTAGAGTATGCCACCCCATCATTGTGCTCCCCCACCTGAAGAGACACCTAAGGAAACTGGAAACGGTTCAGAAGTTTATGACAAAGCTCGTCCCCGAGTTACGAGGGATACGGCATGAAGGGCGACTGAAGGAACTGAACCTGACGACACTAGAAAAATGGATGGAGGGGAGGGGAGAGGGGGGGGGGGAAGATGGCAGAAACATAAAATACTTAGGGGGGAATTGACAGTGGAAATAGTATTCAGTGTGAACATTTCATCTAACAAACTGGGACATGGGTGGAAGCTGGAAACTCAGATGAATCACAGAGATGTTAGGAAAATTTCTTTTAGCATGAGTAGTGGAAAAAATGGAATGAACTTAACACTTTGCCTGGTCGATAACTCAATGTGTCCGTATATCAATATACTCAGTCTGGGCGAGGACGCACGCCGAGTCCAAAATTAAAATATTTGTTAAAAATCAATTTTTTCCCCATTTATAGACTACTGTAACCCCGCGATTATCCGGGATTCGAACATCCGAAAAACGCCCTTATACGGCCAAAATCGTGAACGGATAAAGTTATCACAATATCCGGCCAAAATAGCCACAGGGACCAGATTAAAGCAGGTTTTCTGCAGAAATTACACTATCCGGTCAGTCCCCCGGATAATCGTGCCTTTGTCCGTATATGAAAACATGAGGCGGGCCATATGGTATTAATCCCGTCTGCCCGAGACTCGAGGCGCATGGTGTAGGTGGGGGTGGGGTGGGTGGGTGGTGTTGGGATGGTGGGAGGGGTGCGTCAGGAGGGACTACCTGGGTACAGGAATTACCATTAATTTTAGAACAATTAATCATAGCCAAAAACAAATAAAATAACTACTAGTAATTATGTAATAACAAATAAATAAGTTTCCTAAAAGCATTGTGCACAGGCTGAAGTTTCCTTCAAAAATATTGTGAATTTTTTTCCTCCTGGCGGCCTACGTAACGCTATGGCTGCCCCAAGTGGACCTGTCCAACACTGGTCAACCCATGTGCGTCCGTCCCTCGTGTTATACACAGTGCTGCGCCATTAGTGAAATATTTTTTTAAATAACTTTTTTATTTTCATAGTAACTTTGAACATTTTTGGCCAAGACTATGTCTGGTAGCAGCATCAATCGTTCTGGAGGTGTTAAGAGGAAGAAAGTTGTCCTAACAATAAAAGACAAGTCACAGTTATACACCTCAACCAGTGCGGCCTCACAGTGTTGCGCCATTAGTGAAATATTTTTTTAAATAACTTTCTTAATTTTCATAGTAATTTTGAACATTTTTGGCCAAGAATATGTCTGGTAGCAGCATCAATCGTTCTGGAAGTGTTAAGAGGAAGAAGATTGTCCTAGCAATTAAAGACAAGTTACGTGTTGTTCAAACAGTGAGGCGTCACAGGCAGCCAAGCGCCTTCAACAAGTGAGGCGCCACAGGCAAGCCAAGCTCCTTCAACAAGCGAGGCATTATAGGCAAACCAAGCGCTTTCAACAAGTGACGTGCCACAGGCAAGCCAAGCGCTTTCAACAAGTGAGGCGCAAGCAAGCGCCTTTAACAAGTGAGGCGTCACAGGCAAGCCAAGCGCCTTCAACAAGTGAGGGCATGCAAGCGCTTCAACAAGTGAGGTGCAAGCAAGCACCTTCAACAAGTGAGGCCTCACAGGCAACCCAAATGCCCTCAACCAGTGAGGCTTCAGCAGCTGGCAGTCAAAACTAATTTAGCTTAATGAACTGTACAGTAATTTTAAGTGTTAATTTTAGTGTTGTGTTAGTATAGGTTACGTAAATTGTTAAGAATTTTTAACTTCAAGATGTGTGGCATCAATCAAGAAGACGAACACCAACAAGGTAAGTTGAGGTTTCTAGTTGAATATTTAATAATTGTATGTGGCAAGGCAATTCAAATTATGTTGTTTGTAGTATAAAAATAGTTGGAAATGGTCGCTTTTGGACTCGTAGGTGAAAAAGTACCATTATCCGAAAAATGTGATAATCCGGCTGGGGGTCCTTCCCATATAGTCCGGATGATCGAGTGGAGACAGTAGTTTTAAAATGTGCGCCTTTTGATTGCGAACAACTTGTTACCAGAATGAACAATGTAGCATGAAAATTGAGGTAACAAAACTGGAAAAAGTATAAACATTTGAGTGAGGATGCTCGCTCACCGGTAACGCTCCACCCATTTTCGGGTTTGCTGTTTGTGAAGAACCAATTTTTTTGACCTTATATGCATATATCCCTTTAGAGAATTCTATTATGAACAATTTGATACAAAAATGAATGGCATAGCATGAAAATTGAAGTGACAAAACTGGAAAGAGTATAAATATTTGAGTGTAGGTGATGGGTGCACGCTTACAGGTAAAACTAGGCCTACCTTGGGGTGTGCTGCATGTGGCGCTGGACCATTTTACCTTATATACATATATCCCTGTAGGGAATTCTATTGCAAACAATTTTATACCAAAATGAACAACGTAGCATAAAAATTGAGGTGAGAAAATTGAAAAAGAGTGCTGTATACACATTTTAGTGCAGGTTATCTTGAGGTTATTCTGAGATGATTTCGGGGCTTTAGTGTCCCCGTGGCCCGGTCCTCGACCAGGCCTCCACCCCCAGGAAGCAGCCCGTGACAGCTGACTAACACCCAGGTACCTATTTTACTGCTAGGTAACAGGGGCATAGGGTGAAAAAAACTCTGCCCATTGTTTCTCGCCGGCGCCTGGGATCGAACCCAGGACCACAGGATCACAAGTCCAGTGTGCTGTCCGCTCGGCCGACCGGCTCCCCACTAAACAGAGGGTTTCCCGTGCCGGGAATCGAACCCGGGCCTTGCGGGTGCGAGGTGCGCGCTGATGCGAAATGCTCGGACCACCTTCGGGTGTGCT